AGCCCAAACAAATTCATAAAAATAGTAACAATAGTATTGCTACCAATAACAATAGTAATACTGCGCACAATGGTACTAGTAGTCGTAGTCGTAGTCGTAGTCGTCGTCGTAGTCGTCGTCGTCGTAGTGGTAGTAGTAGTAGTAGTAGTAGTAGTAGTAGTAGTTGCAGTAGCAGTAGCAGAGCAGCAGCATCAGCAGCATCATTAGTAAGTTGCTTTTCTGCTGAACTGAGGCATGTACAACAGGAGGTGCTGGACGTGGCATTGGACCTTGTGCCTTGCCGCACCGCTGAGACCAGGTACTCTCTCCCTCTGCTTCATGCAGCAGACTCCTTGCCTGCGCTATCTGCATCTGCGCCACCGAGGGCTGGTACACCAGCTGAGGACCTCGGGAGCCCACCGTACACGAACCGCAGTAGCGGCTCAGTCATCGAGAAAATTGGTAGCCGGCCCCTCATCAGCCCAGGCCGCTGTCACTGCGAAAGAACATTGCGCAGACTGCTTCGAGTTGTGGAAGAAGGGCTTGGTAATCGGCAGAGCAATGATGCCAATTTCCACATGGGTTCGAACTGGTGAGCTGCAATGCTTTAAACTGTAGAGTTGGTGGCTTGCTCGGTGGAGTCGCACAGCTTTGCTCTTCTCAAGCATGCGCATAAAGCCATAACAGGCTTTCGGACAGTTCGAGTAACAGCATGAATCGTGTTCGATAGGCAGTGCTCGGCCACTGGAAGGAACACGCTGAAAGAGAAGACCTCTCGCTGATGACATTTTCCCAATATCCGGCCTTTGCCCACAAACGTGGGGAGCTAGAGCAGGCACGGTGAGACATGGTGAGACCGCTCAAGAAGAAAATCCTCGCCAAGCAGTGGAAGTTAGTAAAGCTAACGGTGGCCGAATCGAAAGGCACTATCACTATCAAAATGGATCTAGATCAGGGAGGTCTACGTTCAAGGTGTCGAGAGGCTTGTATTTCGCCCCCTCGTCCAGCAGAGCTGTCACCTGATCCACGAACAAAGCAAGCATGGGAAGAATCTTGGTGCACGGTTGTGATCTCATCAGAGATGCAAGAAGCGGCGCAGGCATGTAGACAACTCCGTGTTGGCACCTGCCTGTTCCCTCAAACCGCAACACCAAGCCTCCTCATGGCGCTTCCAGTTGGACTCCGCGCAAGGAACTTTTTTGTAAATTTCGGGCAGTTCCTCATTGCGAGGTCACGCGAGCTGGAACATGCCTCTGTCTCAAGCACTCGCAACCCGGTCCTGTTCACCCTGTGTAATCCAAGGTGGTGGGAGGTCGCAGGGCCTGGGCAGGAGATGAAGTTCGAGGAGTGACGTCATATCGTTCTGTTCTACTCCAAAGGGATGTTGTCGTTGTTGAATCTGGCACAGGATCCCCAAAGTGGATGCTCATCCAGCCGTCCGGGTGTTTCTCAAGCGGTCGCTTGCACATCGGTCGCATGCACATCGGCTTGATGCAAAAGGAAGACGATGAGCCGCAACTCTGATGTTGTGGCTTTTGCATCTGGCACGCTGTTGAGCGCGATCACTTCCTCTCTGAAACAGACACAAGCCGAGCTGCAACATCATGCTTAAAAGAAGCATTGCTTGCTTCTGGCTGTTGCCAGGTTGCTGTGAACCTTTTCTGACAGACTTTTGCTGGCCCGGACCCTGATGTCTCAGAGAGCCTCACCATGCCTCACCACACTACAGTAGTTTGTCTTGAACTTCGGGGTTGGAGAAAACAGGACATGCTCTGAAAGACGTGCCCGTGGTTCTATCTGCTGGGATGGGTCCCCAAGCAGGAGCTGTCGTCGACCGCAAGTCTTCCACAAGTCTTCTTCACACATCAAGCCCAGACCGCCCTTGCATGGGACTGCCTGAAAGAACCGCCAAAGATTGCTGAGGTTTTTCTGCGGGGCGGTGCACGGATACCACCGAGATTTAGCATCGTGAGGATTCTGATCTTTGCTTCTCTTCGAGAAGCCCTGCCTCAAACTTGAAAAAATGAAGCAGTTGCATATGCAAGTCCGGATGCGAGTTTGAGGTGGCCACGGATGCAGGTTCTTTGCATACTTGTACGCCAGGACATTGCCTGGGGCGGCAGAGTATCTCTCACGGGAGCTGGAGACTGAGATCAAGGACATCGCCAACTGGAGGGAAGTAGTTGGCAACACCTCAGTGAGAACAGTCTGTGTAGCCGAATTCAAAGCCGACGATGCCATCTGAGGACGATGACAGTACCTGCCGTTTGACGACAGCGCCATCCCGACCTTTGCGTCGACCGCGCACTGCAGCGGTGCTGACACTTCTTCGGACTCGCTGTCGTCTCAGACACCAAGGCGCTGACCGAACACGTCCCTGCCCACATCATTTGAATGAAGTTGACGCAGCCCTTCTGCGGGCCAGGATGATGGAAGTCATAATGCTCCTCACAAGTATCGCAGTGTCCCGCATCAGACACAGTGCAAAACGGGGCAAATCTCCGGCCCCGGTCCAGCTCGCTATACCACTGAGTCACCACGTGTTCCGCAGCGGCCTGGTCCCACTTCAACTCCTTCCTTGCAGAAGCATGAAAGCAATGAAAACCAGATGCATTCCCTGCTCTCGCAAGATGTCCTCGAAGGGCCCAGGGAGTTTTGCCCATGGCGGCCACTTAAGCTTTCCACGAAATTTTTGGTCCTCGGCTGCATTCGGGCTTGTCACCTTGTCCCCTCGCTCCCTTCTGATCGCAGGGAGGACTGGGACAAGGACAGTCGACGATCTGCAGTTTCACAGGCTTGGGCTTGCATCCTCCAAAAAGAAGAGACAAGGCAGGCTTCTCGGCTTTCACAACTTCTCGACTGAGGCTCCCGCCTGGCGTGCTCATAACACTCCTGGCTCCAGACCTTGCAAGGCCATACAAAACAGAGGGGTTGATGATCTCGCAGACCGGGAATTGCTTGGACAGTGGCCAGGGGAGGCGTCCAGTGAGCCGCCCGTCTTTCGTTGTGAAGCAGGAGCACCGACTGAATCCATGCCTTGCGACGCTGTGCACCGAAAGCCCAAAGCCGCAAAGCGGAGTTTGTAATTAAACCCCCTGTTAGCAGCTTGGTCCCCAGCTGCAGGAGCATTCTTGTCGTCGCCCTCTGGCACAAACTCAGTTGCTGCTGCGACCGCAGCCTGCTTGCCTCAAGACCGTGTAAGTAGGAGTCTGATTACAAAGGGACTAGTTGAAGGCTTCAGGATTTTGCATGATTTTAAAGATCACAATTCACAATCGATCCCGAAACTGCCCGAAACCCCGTCCTGCTTGCTTTCGGCCGTTTGGCGACTTCTTCGGTGAACGCCTACTCGGAGAAGTCGGTGAGCTGGCCCCGCTTTTCGGGGAGCTTTTTGGAGATGCCATGCCTGAAGGCGGGATCAGCTTCGAGTCGTCCCTCGTCTGCAGCAACCAGGAAACCGAGTTCTGGCCTGGACTGGGAGACGTCGCCCATGCGCGCCGGTGACACGTCGGCGTGCGGCCCAGGAGCGGCTGTTATTCAGGTGCACACGGTGCACCCCTCACACGCTTTGCTGAAGCCCTGCCCGAAACAGTGGTTTGATTAGATTTGATCAAGTCGGATGCTGAACGGTGCAGGCTGTAGCTAAACAGATGGAACTGACGTGGTGGCCGCTTTGGATCTCTGCAAGCAAACTCAACCTTGAGCATCCGCCTGCACATGCTCCGTCTCACAACTGCTTCAACAAAATGTGGAAGTTGTCAGCATTTTTTAGTCCAAGCGAATCAGAGCCAGCGCAAGTCAGTGCGAGAGCGCAAGGCGAGAGGGCTTGCACTAGTAGACCTGACCCACAGCCCACAGCACAGGCAGAGGAAATGCCAGTGCAGACTCTTCATTCGCAGCCCCCCACCCACTCTTGGCAAGCCTGATTTGGATAGCTCAGATAGCTGGGCTGGTGAAGCGGGGCTGGCATTTGGAGCTGTTGAGAGTAGTACTGCGGCACCTCGGGTCCAGCTGGCAATCCGCAAAACGCTGAAGCGCATGCGCAGGGCTCGCCGGAGTCTCCGAAGGGTCTTTAGCTTTTGACTTGGCTTTCTGGTAGAATCGATCGGGCAGCGGGGTTCGCCGTTGCAACACTTTCTTGTGACTCCCACGACCGATCGATTTCAGCCTTTCCGCGGTTACGAGTCGAGAGTCAAGAATGAAGCATCACGCAAATCCGGAAAGGCACTGGAGGTGCCGCGATCCATGCCGGCTGCGCAGGGTTCGCCAGAGGACCTGGAGACCCAGGCATGTCAAAGCGCCTCAAGCAAACAAATCGTAAACATGAGGGCCTCTCGGCTCCACTAGTGGCATTTGGTCACTCTGAGGGATCTCCAGGTCGGCTTCAACCTCAGAGCTTCTTCAACAGAGCTCAAACGACAACAGAGGCTCTCTCTCCGCGCCTTCGTCCCGCGAGAGGTCTTCCCTCTTGCTCGCTTCTCGCCTGTCCCGGAAGAACTCCGCCGGATTTTCACACGGCTCACATGAAACCAGCTTCGCAGTCGGGTCCTGCTGCACACCAGTAGACACCCACCAGCACAGCACCAACGGCGCATCCTCCTGGTCGCAAGAGCCGAACATGCATTTTACAGGTGACCCACTGCGCACACTAAGAATTGCTAAACCCGGCCATCCGCGGACAGAAGAAAAATGTGGAAAACAAAGCCCTGCGGGCTCCAAGTAGCCACGCCCAGGGGAAGCCCGAGCTCGGAGGCTCCGAGTCGGCCACGGCGCTGTCCGACACGGCCGCCTCCCGCGCTGAGACGGCGGGCTCCTCAGACTTCACCACGACGCCGGGATACTGCCGCAAAGGGTTCGGCTCGATCTTCCCCGCAGTGCCGGGAAGTAGGTGGTTGCAGTCTTCGGGCCCGCTAATCACGTCGTCTCCATTTCCCGTTGGATCCACCACGGCGGTGCCTAAAAGCCAGCAGTCCTCAAAGAGGCGAGGCAACTCAGAGCGGGTCTCTAAAACCGCAGCTCGCAGCCCTCAGCCGGCCTTGGAGTCTTTGTAGTAGGTGAAGACGGTGCAGTCCGGGTTGGTCTCGCAGTACATCTGGCACCTTTTAGAGCTTCTTTTCTGCGTCTTTTTTTGTGGGGACACGCTTTAAAGACTCAAGTTGAGGCGGTTTGCGCCAAGGCGTCGTAGGGTTTGCCCCCATTGGGCTTTGTAACTTCAGGGTCCTGCTCGGGGCTCCGGCAAAGCGACGTTAGAGTGGTGGGAGATGAAGCAGCCAACAGTCCTTGTATGCCGTGCCTTTGATAGCACATGGCGGGATCGCAGACCGCACAACCTCACGAGCTTCGTTGACAGCAGACTGCGTCCGAGGCACGACCAGTTCAAGCTGAGACCGTCGCTAGCAAGGGCAGGGCCACCAACACTAGTCTGAATATCATGACCCACAGACCAGACCTCCAGAGACCTAAGCACAGGAGACTGGAGCCAATATCTGAACGCTGCAAGTAATATGATCTGAGCAGATCCGCAATGATGGCACAACCAGCATGCTGCGACATGCCTAGCTGTAAAAACGGCAGTATCTAATCGCTAGTCTGCGATGCACCATCTAAGGATGAAATATTCCCCTTTCGAAGTGCTCGCTGGACTTTTTTCAAGGGGAAGCATCACACTCCTCGCTGGTTGCAGCTTCACCCGTTGATTTTTGTCTTGATTTGCGGCGCTGCTCCTCTGCAAGTGCTGCCACTAGTTACCGACAGTAGCAGGTAAGGAAAGGTCCTTGCGATGCAACAACTGATTCCTCCATGTCGTCCCGAAACTTCCGGAACGCACCTGCTCGGTAGCTCCACGATTCGTCATGACACAAATTCAAAGCAGAAGTGCAAATCTCGAAAACTTGCTCTCCTGCCTCTTCAAGCTCCACGCCGAGATCAAGGAGGCTATCGCACATCCTCACACAGATAACAGTGAATCTGCTCATGCCATGCCCCGTCCGCGAACCTCCGGGAAATTTCCAGCGCAGCATCAGGCTGTGCTAATCTTCGCCTCAAGTCATGCTCGACAATCTGGCGACACTGATTCGATCCTGGAGTTGATTTGCATCTGGGCTGCGCGTTCTCAGACATCCTTTCCAAAGTGGGCGGGTCCTGCAAAAGCAAGAAACAGCCCCGACATCCTGTAGTAGAACCACGAGGCAAGGAGCCTTCAACCACTCTTCAATCTTGGCTGCCACAAGATGTGGATCCTGACATTGGCTTCGACACGTCTGAAGATGACACGGAGCATCCCTAGGTCACCTGATCCGAGACGTAGGCACCTGCACCGTTGTCGGTGACCTGGCAGAAACCATCCGACAGGCCTGGATGCTTCCTGAAGCTTCAACTCGCAGGGTCGGCGTAGCTGATATTGCCTTCCTCTTGGCCAGGCACGAAAGCCGTCAGAAGGCATGGCAGACCTGGGCGTCCCAAAGTAACGGGAAAAGGGGCCCTTCCCCTTGCATCTCGCTGGCCTTTGATCATGCTCTCAGCAATAGATCCGGGTCCTGCCTGCGCGAGGGGTACAGAAGCCGGGCTGGGGGGCAGAAGTCAATCACCCTGCCTATAATGTCATGTCACCAAAGAAACGCGAGTACATGCCAAGGTGTATGCCAACGTTGGCATGAATGCCAAATCTGATATATACACGTGCAAGTATGCATACATACACACATGAGCATTGAGAACCATCACAGTGCTACTGACAGCGAAACTTGAAGCAGGAATGACCGCGCGCCTTCGTCACCAGACAGTCTGCAGCTGTCATGTACCTATCAGCACAAGTTCGCATCCACTCGCAATGCCTTGGCACAATAACGTCGCACTGATCCACATTTGTGACGAAACCCAGAATCAAGGGTTCGAAAAGCCATTCCTGCAAACAGAGGCCGGCGCACGTCAACAAGAAGTTGGGACCACAGACGGGAAGGTTCTATGACGCTACCTGTAAGAGGAACCTAGCGTTGCACGTCGTTCTCAGCGGCATGGTGCCGCGCATGATCCGCTTTCATCTCGAGACGCGGCGATGCCCTCTGGTCGTTGGAGCGCTTCCCTGCTGGGGAGCTCCCCCAATACTTCTCAAATCTTCTCAAGGTGCTCAAGGGTTCGGACTTCGTCTGCTCGGACTGCGGTTGCGTTCTACGTGGCCAGTTGTCCAGCAGACCAGGGGCTGCCGAGTGTCGGGAACAGCCCAATCTTCCTTCGATTCTGCTGCATCCTGGAGTGCTCCCTCAAGAACCTATAGCAATACCATATGCTATACAAAGGCACAGCGTGGTCATGTTACAAGGTCATCAGCAGATGCTCTAAAGCTCTCCAGTCCCCAAAGCCACGGGGCGTCCAGCGCCGCCTGGAGTGCACGGAGAGGGAGAGCCAGTTCCCAATACAGTGACATTACAAGGGAGATTCGGAGCACATCATAAACATGCATATAATCAATGCTGTTCATGTCAGGTGCTATCATTTTTCCCTTCAGGACACTGTACTGATGACAACTAGCTAGTGAATGACCGGCATGCAAGACTTTGAATAGAGAGCTCGGATTGTCTCTGATCAGTCCCAGTGGCTCAACCAAGGCTTTCCGGACCTGAGACTTTTCATGGTGCACTAAAACACTCTCCGTCTTCTCCGAGACCACGCCTCTTCGTTCCGACCACAAACAACCACAAGCTGTCCATAGCCACGGCCTCGAAATTGAAGTTGTGTTCTTCGGTTTGACATGCGGCACAGGGAACCAACTGGGGGAGCTGCCGATCAAGGTGTCGCCGATGGCACAGGCCACCTCATTCAAAGATACCGATCCAGCTGATGAAGCAGCTTCTGCCTGCCCTTGCGCCTTACTCTGCAGTCATGACAGTCGCACCAAGCGGCATCCAAGAGCCTCCCGAAGCCCTCACCACCTCCCATGAGGAGCACAACCTGACAGCAGCCGCATCAGGCTCCCAAAACCGCCTAGACAAAGGTTGTTGCCTCGGGCCGTTCCGTGGGTCGAAGTCCCAACTGAGCCTTTCAGCTACAGAACAGTGTCTTCAGAGATATGGGTTTCTCAGCAACTATGTTCAACTATGTGCAGTTGACCCACCGCTGAGGCAACTAGCCAAACGCGCCTGCAGCTGGCGCTTTTGGTCAGGAGACACAGGATCGGCACACCAAAAGCCTGCTCAAAAGGGGTATTACACCCGGACATCGAAAAGACAGCCACGACAACTAAAGAGATATTTTGGTTTCCGATGCCCGAGCTTTTCCGAAGTCGGGACGGGAAGGACAGGACGGATGCGACGGGACGGATGCGACGGGATGGGACGCGACAGGACGGGACGGCCGGACGGCACGGACAGGAAGAGCGGGACAGGACGGGACGGACCGGCACGAAACGGCGGGACGGGACAGGGATCTGATCTTTCGATGTCATTGGGTGCTTTGAATGTCCGTAGTCTGTATTCCATATCCGGGCGTGCAGATCCCATGACTGCCGGTCGTAGATGCTACAGTAGAAGCCCAAAAGTTGGAAACCACATAGCCTCAACCCTTAAGAGTAATGTATAGGGAATCCCAGCACTATTTGTCCTTTTTCCGGTTTCCAACTTTTTGGGGTTTACTATAAGACCAAAGCACCCGCACTAGATATGATCTAACTGTCGATCCTGCATACACAACGCCACGCAGAAGACATGTCACGAAAGACCACCATACCGAATCACATGCATGCACGCACAAATACATGCATGCATGCATACCTGCATACCTGCATACATGCATACATAGATACACAGATACACAGATACACGGATACACAGACACACACATACATGCATACATGCATACATGCATAGATAGACAGATAGATAGATAGATAGATAGATACATACATACATACATACGTGTAGGTATGCATCTATAGACGCATGTGCACATACAGAGAGAGGCATAAGCACACACATGTATGTATATCTGATGTGAGCACAAACGCATACCTATGCATAGGGAGGGATACATATATACGTATATGTATATACGTATGCAGATTTATACAAATATGTATATACATATATATATATGTATATATATATATAGATGTGTATGCATCTATCTATCGACCTATTTATCTGTCTGTCTGCCTGTCTGTCTTTCTGTCTGCCGGTCTGTCGGTCTGTCGGTCTGTTGCTCTGTCGGCCTGTCGGTCCGTCGGTCCGTCGGTCGGTCGGTCGGTCTGTCTCTCTCTCTCTCTCTCTCTCTATCTATCCATCGATCGATCTATCTATCTGCTTAAACATTCACAGCACTACAAGATCCTTAACACTTCCGAGGTTGTCACAGCCAAGCCAGGTCAAGCGATTCTAAATGTTGAACCATTGTGCAATGGGGACAAGAACCACTAGGTAAACCCTACCGAACAGGAAAACTAATTGTCGAGTAGTACGGATGCATGCATGCAGTAAGACGTATAGGAAACCGAACATTTAGACATGCAGTACTACACGCAGAAATATACAGTGCTGTGCTAGGCCATGCACAAAGTCATACACACGTCTACATAAACCTTTCCGTACACATAGACGAGGTATAGAAACGTGCAAAAATGTATGTGCAAGCATATGTGGTGCATACATCTTACCTGTCTTGTCACTTACTAGTACATATCTATCTGTCGATCTACCGATCTGTAGATGAACGGTCAATAGTATGTATGGATGTTTGAATATACGTACATATGCATGCATGTATATGTAAGCTAATGCCACTATGCATGTACACTCTGTCTGTATGTATACCTATATATCTATATACAGATATAAATATATATATATGTATATTTATATTTATATACATATATATTTGTTTATTTATATTTATATTTATATTTGTATTTATATTTATATTTATATTTATATTTATATTTATATTTATATTCATATTTATATTTATATTTATGTTTATTTATTCATGTATTTGTTTATCTATTTATTTATTTACATACATATATCGATATATGTATATATATATATATTGAATGTCCAACAACACATGAGATAATGTGACCTTTCAGCCCACAGTATGTTACGTGCGTATACATAGAGAGAGGAGCGTATGCAGACTCAATCTTGCATCACATGTGTCAAGTCAGAGCTGCCTTCCCTCAGCGGAAGGCCACACAAGTGGATCTTCCTGGCAGCCACAATGAAGCCACGATACCGGTCGTAGGCTTCGGGGATGTCAGTGGCAAAGCTCAGCTCATATGATACCAAGGGTACCAAGATACACTAGTGAAGCGAGCAGCCTGCTTCACAAAGTGATGACCGGTCCTCCTCGGCACTCCTCGTTTGATGGCGGCTTGGTATATTTCCTGCACCGTTACCGCTGCGTGATGCGAGTCAGGGCAGCTTTGCTTCCATGACATCAAAAGTTAGGGAGGCATCCTGACTCGGGACAAACAACATGTCGGCACGCGGGTCAAACCTGTGCCAGCTGCAACTGTCAGTCGCGGTGCATCGGCAAAATACTCCTGCAAATCTCAAGTAGGCTACCAACCAGGACAGATGCGCAGATCCCAAGTCTGTCACCTGAGGTGCGTTTCCCAGTCCCAGGCTGCCTAAAGATCCGGACATCTGAGGCAAACGCAACTGTGACAACCGGCAGGCACAAGTCCTGGAAGAAAAGGCCAGAACAGGCAGGCCTACCATGGCGTCACACTGTCACCAACTCAGGCCTGGCGGCTTGCGGGTGGTTGTGAACCGGAACCTCGAGGGAGGATACAATCTACGAGTAGCCCCCTTCTGCGATTCTGAAAGCGGGCTCGCGTCAGGTTGACCCATGGACATTTGAGATGAGAGTAGGTCGGACAACTCGGGTCAGAGAGTTTCTGTGCTCCCATCCGCCCCCACGAAAGCTGCTGTCTCCACCACAGATGTTACAGAGAGGCAGGGAAAAGAAGAGCCCGAGGACAGTTGCCCAATGGACATGAGGTTGCACAGTCAAAGGAAATTGCCGAAGCACATGAAAAAAACTGTCAGGTTTCACACTTTCAACTACCGTGACGATCTTCTCTACAACCAGCCGAACAAATCGACAAGCTGAATCCGGCATGGGTCGTCTGGGCCTAGCACAGAAGCATACAGCCAGAACTCATACTACGAACCCGCCTCGTGCAAGTTCTTCCAGTGCTTCAATCACCACGTGGTGAATCCTGCCGCCAGAACACGGGCCCATCTAGCAAAGACTCCCAGGTCGGGTCTTAGCATCCGGCAGTGGATGAACAGAGATGATGAGGTCTAACTCCAACGCAGCCTGCTCTAAATAATTGAGGACGGACCTGACGCTGCAAGGCAGCGAGCAGTGGAGACCGTCGAAATCCTGTGAGCTTGGTGGATCTGGCTTGCTGTGATCCGCACTCCCGGCAGTAACTCCACATCATCTTGTAGCCTTTCTCAGAATCACTGACCAGAGAGGCACAAGGATGATCTCGCCACTCGCAATAAGGCTGCAGCGAAGCGATGCTAAAAGGAAGCCAAAAAAGCACATGCTCCCCATTGAGGCAGGGGACTTGTAGTGTCGCACCATGTCTCGCTGTCTTGATCATAGTCCCAGGCCTTGGATGGTGTACACTTGCATCACCTCCTCGACTGTCTCTTTAACCCCCCTTTATAAGGACGCAGCGCGTTTGTACACCGAAGGGAAGTGACCCAATGTCTGCCATGCAAAGCTCGCGCGGCGCACAATCTGAAACATGCCGCATCCAATGCCTGGTAGGTTTCTGGTGCCTGCGACCTGCCAGAATGAAGGTCAAAAGCTGTGCACACAGGCTCTGGAAACAGGTCTCTGCTTTCCAGCCGCAAAGGGGTCGCATCTTGGGCATGGGCAGTGGCCACGGCATTGCATGTCTTATGAAATCGACAAGGGTCACCGAAACCTGGTATGCACAGATCGGATCTGCGGTGGCATTCTGAGAGCCTTTTGTTCTGTGTAGCCTGGTTTCCATAGAGCTTCTTCAGAGCCGCCTTCCACGGCACGTGCCCCGCTTCGGAGTAGCCCAGTCTGACTTGACATGTGACGCCTCCAAAGACAGCGCGGAGGCGCGATGGCCACCCCCCGTATCAGAGAAGTAGATGTGAATCTGCCGCGGTCGCTGGTGAACCCTCTCCTCAGCGATTGGAGTTTGCCAGGACACTACAAGGCAGAATGCCCTGCTACCAGGGGCCAGGCTTCTGCCTCAGAGCCGCCCGTCCGGCTGAGTCTCCTGCAGGAGGTAGGAGTGAATGCAAGTGTGCTGGAGCGGTGCTGCGGCCTCAGCGGCAGCTTGTACCTGGTATCAAGTATCTGGAGATGAAGACCCCGCATATCATCACGCTGTACATTGAGACTGTTTTCACAATGCTTCACCTCGGGGTGGGCTCGTCCTGTCTGGCTTTGGACTCATCCGACGAAGAGTTTTCCTGCATCGAGTGGTGTTTGGCAGAACACAGCACCTGAAAAGCAAAACCTTCCTCAACTTACACGTCGTATAGCCCGAACCTTCTCTTCCACCCCAACGTCGGGCACCTGCTGAATTGTCCTGAAAGGTGTCGATGGTCATACTATCCAGAGGCGGTAAGCATGTGTGAGAGCAGACGATTGTCCTTGAAGGATTGTCGAAGAACGTAGCTAGTGCACTGGCTGATTCCTGCTGCAAAGGAAGCCTATGCAAACACGTGCAGGCAAGTCCCTCAGCGAGGCTTCGGTCATGCTTCGAGCTTGGTTGGGAAGAAGCCATTAGCCTGAGCCTCGCGCAATGACGTCCGCAATGGATTCACAATTGAACAGTACACCGGGCTCGCTGCTGATCTCGTTGCTCTTTCGCCTCAGAGGAACATATGATCGTTCGCAGACCCCAGTTGCAGGTAAAGGATCTCTACCATTGAAGGAAGAATTGTCCACACCATTCAACGGGCCCAAAGAGTTCCATGCGACAACTCTGTCGTCGACGAAACATCTGCTGTCACATGTTCGCTAATGCACGACACACATCGAACCACAACGAAAGAACTACTAATCTCACCTTCATACAGTTCCTATGTTAGTGCCGAACATGCCGAGAGAGGGGCTTTGTGTGCAGCTTCAAACCCTCGCACCAAACAGCCCTTCCACCATGCCTGTTGCGGGCAGGTGTCATGGCAAGCGGTCGACAGTATAACACCGATTTCTGGCTTTCGTGCGAGCTCGTCGATAACACTGATGCTCAGGCTCAGTAGCCGCCTGGATCAGAAGCACGGCTCGCAGGCGATGCTTCTCGTTGTCGAGGTGCTCCTCGCTTCAAACAGCCCGTTTGTTGCTATGTCCACGCCTGAGGGAGGTTGTTCCATATAGGGGTTCTGTGTCACGGATCTTCCAAGCCATAAGCCTGCCTTAAGGAGTCGTTTTGAAGCATGGACTCTTTTCTTTTTTCTGCATGGGAGAGCGGTTGTTGTACAAACCCCCGAGCGCAGCCCATCGGCTTTGAAGCGCGGCTGGCTGCCTTGGAGAAACCCCGCATTCTTTCGGCTGAGACTGCCATGAACTACACTTCGGGCCCAAGGCTTCTCTTTCGCACAGATCCGCGCTGTAGCGACTAGAAGGGCTTCGCTGAGCCACTGTTTCCGTGAACTCCTGAAGGCCTCTGCGACCTTTGCCCCGCCTTGCTGTTCTGTCTCGTTTCGATGTCAAACCTGCATTGTATCTATCCTGGAGGATACCGTGAGCTTCTTCCCCCTTCTCAAAGGCAGAGCATGTCCGCGGTAGCACGGTGCACCCTTCAATCAAGGTGGTGGAGGGCCCTTGGCAACGACAATTGTCCCAGCCTCCGGCTTGCACCGTGACCTCGCGACGACTCGCTTCTTGTCCGGTGCACCTTCACACACTATCCGACCACGTCGTCCCACATGCCGATGTGGCAGACTTCTCGAACATCTGAGGCGCGCACATGTAACATCCTTTGCGATCTGATTCTGTTGCAAGTCATCATAAGCTCTGCGAAGTGCAAGCTTTATGAGCCCAATGACTGTACAAGAAGAAGAAGCGAAGCAACGATCCGCCTAAAAGTGCGATCATGTGCACGCTGCACGCAAAACCAGACGGGGCAACGATAGCCCGTTCCGGGCGTGTGACAGCGGCAAGATTCCCTACAACGATTCGAGACCATTGCCGAGTGTTCAGAGGTTTGTGTTTGGCTTGGCCGGGCTGCAGACTAGTAAGGGTCGCTTTCCTTACATATGTATATATATATATACACACATATACACAATACATATATACATACATATACATACAGATATAGATATACAGATATACTACATATATATATGTATGTATATGCACATACATATATACATATATATATAATGTGTATGTATGTATATATATAGATATATGTATGTGTGTATATATATATTCTACCCCCCCGGACGTACCTACACTTTCTGCCTTTCCTAAGGCAATTTCTTGTCCGATCCGACGTGAAGTCTAACAACAAACAAGACTTAAAGTATACATATGTGTATCCTCGTTTAGATATATGTATACAATATACAAGTATAGCGCCCAGAGACGTCAACTCAGCTTCCCTCCCATTCGGGCCAGGGGTGATTTTGAAGAAGATGTCGCGCACGCGGTAGACGACAGATCCTTGTAGAGATGTTCTCATAGTGCGAGGACGTAGGGTGTTCAATACTACCGCACACTAACAAAAGAATCATAAAAAGGATCGAAATGCACGTCAAGATCCGTCAGGCAATGTTCCGATGCGTCGCTCCCACTCTGTGGGAGCACACGGCATCGGTTCACCAAGCGGCTCTGCGTAGTCAAGATGATTCGCGCGGCTGGCACACTTCCAACGAAGGGCGCGGACATGATTGCCAAAGCTACGCGTCGAATCTTTGTGTGGCTAGAGCTTGAGACAGATGCTTCGAGAGTATGGCTTTGCGCTTCGGAAGCCTAACACATTGCAGCCCTCATGGTTTTGGGACTGTGGGAAAGCACAAGTGCCAAGACATTGGGCTCCATGTTATACATAAGACTGTGTGGGAGAGCACGATCTCGCGGCTTTGGGATCTGTGTGTGAGAGCACGATCTCGCGACTTTGGGACTGTGTGGGAGCGCACGACTTTGGGACCTCTCATGGTCTTGAGCATCCTGGCACGCGAAAGTGCTGCGAGGTCCCAATGTTTTGGTGGTTCAGGAGGCCAAAACATTGGGACCTCTCATGGTCTTGAGCATCCTGGCACTTTCGCAAGTGCTGAGAGGTCCCAATGTTTTGGTGGTTCAGGAGGCCAACACATTGGGACCTCTCATGGTTTTGAGCATCCTGGCACTTTCGCAAGTGCTGAGAGGTCCCAATGTTTTGAAGGTTTAGGAATTCAAAACCATGGAAGGTCCCAGTAAAACCAATAAAACCAATGTTCTGGAGGTCTTTGGGCGCGCCCTCCCAAGACCCCCAGCACATTGGTTTAATTGGTTTTATTGGGTTACAGGACTTTGGGCTCCTCAAGCCTCAAAACATTGGGACCTCTCATGGCTTTGAGCATCCTGGCATGCGAAAGTGCTGAGATGTCCCAACGCTTTGGGTGTTTAGGAGGCCAAAACATTGGGACCTCTCATGGTTTTGAGCATCCTGGCACCAAAACATTGTGCTCCTGGTTATAGGACTGTGTGGGAGAGCACGATCTCGCGGCTTTGGGACTGTGTGGGAGAGCACGACTTTGGGACTGTGTGGGAGAGCACGATCTCGCGGTTTTGGGACTGTGACGGAGAGCACGACTTGCAAGCAGGCACATGTGCAAGCCAGGACCCTGGATCAGGTAATCCAGGATCGACGCGCTGAGCTCTGTACCTGATCAGGAAACACAAGAAAAGTGTACAGTGTAGGTACATGGGGGGGGGCACCATATATGTATATAATCTAATCTAACACAAGATAATACAATATAAGACAACATAATAGAAGATAATATAATATAATATTATCTTATATTATCTTATATTAACTTATATTATCTTATATAATATTTCCCATTATTTTCTTATATTATCTTATATTATCTTATTTTATCTTATATTATACTATATTATATTGTTACTATCTTATATTATATTATATTATACTATACTGTATTATACTATACTAGATTATACTATATTATATTATACTATATTATAATATATTATATTATACTATACTATATTATACTATACTATATTATACTATGCTATATTGTATTATATCATACTATATTATATTATTATATATTATATTATATTTTTTGTATAACATTATATTATATATATATGATATAAACCCATAGAGAGAGGGAGAGAGACAGAGAGACGGCGAGGAGAGAGAGGGAGGGAGATAGACAGACGGCCCTTCGGCTGATCTTGGCTAGGCCAAACACGCACTGCCCGTCGTTGCCTCTCGAGCCGAACAGGCTCGAATAGTATAATATATTATACTATACTATATTATACTATTCTATATTATAGTATACTATATTCTATTATACTATACTATATTATAGTATACTATATTCTGTTATATTATACTATATTAGATTGATTATAATATATAACAGGCCCCTTCTCACAGGGCTCCTGGATCTGAATCTCCCGCTCTCGACGGTAGAGGTAGGACACGAAGCCACTGGGACAGCAGGCGAGAAGCGGGTGCAAAAAAACAGCGGCGCGGATCGATGCATGCCGGCCTGAACTTCGTAACTTCTTCCCGCAATCGTCGAATTTGATGGTTCCGGGCTGCAACAAAAGCCTGCTCAGAGTAAACGGGAACAGCTTGCACAGTTTGCTGCTCGAGCAGCAAAGCCTTCGCTTGCATTCGAGCGGTGAGCTGCTCGCAACATGTGCTGAGCAAGCGCTCCGTGTAGTTGCATGCCACCTGGGTGCTAAAAGTATGGCTTCACCACTCTGTATGCAGGCATTGGGACCGAGCAAGATTTGCCACCCGCTGGCGTGCCACTGCACGTCGCCAGACTGCCTCCGGTAGGAGTTTGCCACATGCTTCTCGCCTTGCACCTCTCCTGGGCACTTCGCCTGAATGCGAGTAGCGTAATGATCGTGAAATCGGCGGCCGCTCAAATCGACAGCCAGCTGCTGCTGGGCAGTGCGAACAAGGCTGAGCAAGGACCTTGGATTCACTCGTCTCGGCAGTGTCGCTGCGCCGATGCGGCTTCTGTTGCCCGTTGCAAGACTGAGGTGGTTACTGCAGGCTGTTGCTCGCAGAACTCATCTTCCGCCGTGCCAAATGGCACACGCGGTACGGGAGGGTCACATGAGCGGCACATCTCGGAGGAATCGGACTAGCCGCACTTGCCAGGTTTGACAGCTGCTCAAGTGTTGCTGACTTCGCTCAAAGACAAGCATGCAAGCTAGTGGGTCAACTCATGCTTTCGTGACTGGAGGTGAAGGTTAGACCATGTTGGACCTTTACAAGTCGTGGCCGTTGACTGCTAGCTTTGAGCTTCCGTCCTTCAAAAACGCCCCCGCCTGAAACGTGTTCGAAAAGCCCCTGCGGGGCTATCGGCGGACTCCAGCTTCTTCCGCAGCAGCTCCTTTCTCGACGCCAAGCTGCCAGACTGCCCTAGGCCCTAGGCTGCTTGAAACATTTGAGTGTTCGGCCTCAAGCACTACCGCAGCCTGAATTGTGGAACCTTTACAGTAGAATCAAAATATGTCAAAATACCTGCGAGGCGGGTGCCGCCCTAATTTTCCTGTACAATAACTAAATCACTCAAACAACTCACAAGATCGAATCGATCCGGGCGTTGTGGAGCTCTGCGCGAGTTACTTTCTCCCCCGGAGGCGTGTGCTCCAGCGGCTTGCAGTTTGAGTGCTCTTCTGGCCGCGGGGAAAGTTTCTCCCACAGCCTCACGCCAGCCAGACTTACAAGCCCCATCAGCATCAAGAAACACGAAATGAAGATAGTTCCACTGAGGTCTGCTAGGGAGAGACCTTCATTCTTCCTGTCCGCCTTGCTCTGCCCAATGCCCTCTTCGCAGCGGCATGCAGGGAAGACATCCTTATTTGCGCGCTTCTTCTGCTCGAAGACACCCTCTGAAAGCGCCAGCGTGAAGGCCCAGGAGAGGCTGTGGGCGAGGCTCTCACTGACTGGGAAGGACAAGGGGGTACTCCACAAAACGTCACCAACCCGCTGGAACTGGCAGTCGTTTTCCCGGTCACAGTGTGCCTCGGCCTCCGTCAAGATCCCGCTTTTAACGGCCTCACAGTCCTCCTTCACAAACATGCCTCCGTGCATGTTTTCGATGAGGGCCTGGGATAAGACGATGGCACCACATGTCCCCGAAAGTATGACGCGAGGAGAGTATCCAGCAACCTCTACAAAGGTCGCCTGCGGGAAGACGTTGCGAAATGTCTTGAACACAACTGTTGGCACGCAGATTGGAACTCCTTTGAGAACCGCATCGTCCAGGCTGCTGATGTCGCCGACTGTATGCTTCTCTACTACCAGCATCGATGCCAAACTCGCAGTGTAGCTGGCAATTGTTACAAGAATGAAGAAAGCAAAAGCCAGGCTGAAGAACTTGTGTGCCGGACCCTTCTCTGCCTCGTGGCTGCTTTCGCCAAGCAGGAAATCATGCCAGACATTGAAGTGAAATTGCCCAAGTTCCGCAAGGCGCCAGGTACACCTGGGGAATCCGTAAGCAACGCCCAATCTCCCTCTTCTGGACCCGACCTCGAAACTCTCCCCCCTAAACCCGAGAGACGGGGGACAATCTTCGCACCGAAGTCTTCCGAGCCAGCTGAAGACCCCATGGCAACTCCAGGTTTAGGGTTTCAGGATTTAGGGTTTAGGGTTTAGGGTTTTTCAGTGCCGAAAGAGACTTTAAGGCCAAAGCCCCACCTTTCGGCACAGGCTCCTTCAGGACGACTCTCGCAAAGCCGAACCAGCCAGAGAAGGACGGACCTCTCTGCTCCGAGTGAGTTGGTTTTTGATGTAGGATGTGGTTCGATGCTGTTGGTGGTTGTTGACCTGCATGGCTTGCTGAAGATATTTTGAAGGGCTCAAGGTTGAGTCGATACTGTGTTCACTTCCGAAGGAGGCTCCATAGATTCACAAGTCAAAGGAAACCCTCGCGGCAGCCCAGCAACATGCCAGAGAGGAAGGCGGCCACACCCAGCCAGCCATCGGGCGTGAAGGGCAGGAACGGCCTGCTTGAAAACGGCCCAGGGGTTTAGCTACCCGGTGGCATTGACAACCATTTTTTGACAATTGGCCAAGTTGAGACCCGACTGTCGGGACCTAGAAGCTTCTGACAGCCTGGCCTGTTCAACCGTGTCCAGATGGTCACGCCTTCGAGCTTCGCTGGCACCACCAGATACAAGAAGTCCTGTTGAGGGTTGAAGGAGATGTCGTAGGCCTACAGGATTTCGCCTGTTTAGACTGTCTTACAATGTACAATGTTTCGGTGGAGCCAGATATCCTGCCGAACCGCTGGCAGGAAGGTGACAAGCTGGTTCCGCTCCTGACGCAATTGAAAGAGTTCAGGGCGGATTCGGCTTTGAAGGACTTTCGGCTGTGCTGTGCTCGGTGATGTTCTTTCACCATGTTTGTGCTTGGGAATTCTGAATTTTGATTCGGAAATGTCACTCCTCTACCCATCCTACATCCTAAAATTCGGCTCCGGTGTGATCCAGAAATCGCCCACGCACATGTCGAAGTTCCCAACGGCAACGTCGTGCACGCACCTTTGCACATGTGGCCTACAGCCGCTTTCGAATCCTAGACTTGGGAGAACATGCGGGACCTGAAGCTCCACAAAGCTGGAGCCCTAAAGACCCGAAGCACGATTTGCAAAAACCTTAAAGGTTAGAGCCCACATCCAATACGACAGCATCGAAACGAAACCCTGAAGAAAACTGAAAGCCCGGGCACGCAGTGTAAGAGTTTGAGAAAATCTTCCGGGAGCCTGCCGTGGCCCAGCCAGGGACCTTAACTTTTTGAGAGATTGGAACTAACTCAGATTTTGGTCGTCTTTCGGATTTTTCAACGGATCTGAATCACCTTCGAGGGACAATGCTCACAATCGGCCTGGGATGGAAGGCGTCCAAAGCTTCCACAAAGAAGTCGTAGGAGGGCCCGCTCCATTCCTCTGTACTCTAGACCGCCCCTACCATAAAGGGTTTTCTGTCCTGCCTAGTATCTCTGAGGCGCCTTCTTTCGCCCTATGCCTTTGCCAAGGTTCCTTCTGGCCGCCCAACATGGACCGCTTCACCACCCAGGGAGGGAAAGAGTCATCCGCCGCTACTCGGATCACATGGCCTGCGACACGCTTGACAACTTGGGTGAGGTTGGTGTCATACTGGTTCATAAAGCCACAGGTCTCGTAGCTGTAGAAAACCCCAGGAAGTCCATGAAGCGTGGAGGGATGTGCAGTCCGTGAGCGGCAGAATGGCGAGACTCCACTCCCCTCCAGGCCACCTGCCTTCTCACATCTACTCCTGGGTTGTAGTTTTGGGGCCCTGAAAAGTGTTAATGAATACGCACCTCTATAGAAACCATAAGGGAAATTTTTAAGTTTCCCAAATTGCCACCTAGACTCTGATCAATCGGGCAGAAGGCCATGTCCACATAGCACCAGGCATTTTGGCAGAATCCCCGCTCGCTGGCGGCACAGCCCGAGCTGGCCATGATGGAATCATAGGCCTGGCAGCCTGCTGTGCCGTAATCTGCAGGGAATCCCGCGGCAAGGAGCTGCGAGCGCGTGAGATTGTAAGAGTCTGAACCTTGGGCTTTGGTCCAAAGATCTGTGGACTTGAAGGTTCAGGCATTAGATGGGTTCGGATACAGCTGGTCGAACAGAATGAGGAGACACCGAAGGCCCACACTTCGCACTTTCGACCCTGAAGCTACCACAGAACTCCTCTGAAGTCTTTTGGCTCAGAGCTGAGAAGCTCTGCGAGATGCATGGGCACTCCGGCGACCCAGGGCCTCAAGTCCAATGGAGCAAAGGTTTGGGTCGACAGCCATCTAAGAGGTTCCTAAAAGGCTTTTTGGGTAAGTCCAGAAACCCAATTTTTCAGATCATACACGTGTACCACCCAGAAATCACCCTGAAACTCTTGAAGCTGGAGGCCTGCCGTCAATACTGAGCGGAGCTTGAAAGCTGAATTGCGAGCAGTTGAGTTGGAACGCGCCAACCACTGCAGTCTTAACCACCTCAAGACCCCGGATCTCGAAGACTCGTCCAGCCTGCCGAAGAGAGGAGTAAGAAGGCACTGCATGCCAGAGCGCGCTTCATCGAGGTCACACTGAATGCCAAAGACCCTGTGAATTTCGGAAGGTAAGGCCATGATTTTCGAATGTAATATCCTACTCAAGCTGCAGTAAATGTCCACAATCCGGTCTCTTGAGCCCACGCCAAACTCATGCCAAACTGCCAACATGGCTGCCGACTTCTTTGCAGCCACATGCGCGCATAGTTCTTAGTTCTTACGACTACCTAGCTGCGACATTCGATCTCTTTGGACACTCTGCGGTTGCAAGGATTACCACACGTCGTGCACCTGGTTTCCATTGCTACCGAATAAAAACCGGGTACCACTTTTCCCTTGAAGTTTACAGGGGAAGCTGATCCCTTCGAAAGGGGAATAAGAGCCTCTGGGTTTGCAGAAGCCGCAAGGTCGGAGTTCCGGGGCTTCGTATTTCGAAGCCCAATTAAAACCCTAAAACCCCGTAGACCCTGAAGATTAAACCCCACAGAAACCTTCAAATGCCTTCAAACCTGCACCCTTCGAAAGAACATAAGCGGCCATTTCTGGAGATGTCGACAGAGCCGCCTCTGCCCATATCCGCGGTCAAGCCCAAGGCTCGTCAGAACTGTAAGCCGCCAGTCCTGCACTTGGTTGCCTAGGTTCGAAGCGAAAAAACGATCTTAAGCTGTCCTGATGTTTGTGAGCGGAGGAACATCGCCGTCATGCTGAACAAGAGGACGAAGGAAACCTGTGGTGCTTGATGCCGCAACACGCAGACACAGACGTGTACGGGGCATGGAGAGACTGAGGCTTCTTCTCATGATCTTGTTCCTTCGCGGAACCAGCGCAACGTTCGTGATGTCCTCCCAGCTGCTGCACAAACATGACCAGCGTGGGAATCAGCACTCTCATGAAGAGTGGACTTGCAACAACAAAGGTAGTAGCAACCGCAATGAGCAGCAGTGCGACGAGCACTTTACTCATGTTTGTTCTAGTCCACATGGCTTACAACACCTGCGCCCGCTCGAGATGCCTTTCCTACGTCCCAAAATCTTCGAAACACAAAATAGACCCCGGAGCTCGAAACCCCAAACCCTAACAAGTCCCCAAATCCCCAACATCAACCCCAAAAGACGGCCAAAAGCGCGTATGCCGTCGGGCGGGAGACCTTTACCGAGCCCAGAGGCAAGCTCCGAAGACTCAAGGCTCCCCTAGTGGCGATGCTAGGACTCCCCAGTCAGCTATCAGCTCTGTCCCTACCCATAGGCTCCTAAGTAGTTCCTTTTTGTGGTTCATATTTAGAATCCTATAAGGTAATCCCAAAAAGGAACTACTTAGGAGCCTGGAGGCTTCTTGGTCGCCTTGGGGGATCGAAGCACCCTCGCCAACCTTGCCAACCCCCAACCCGATGCCAATATCCTGGACCCCGGACCCTACACCCTAAACTCTAAGAAACCGAACCTTGCAAAGCTCGAGGCTCAAGTGGTCTAAGCGCGCACGGTGGGGTCTGCCCCCCCGGTGCTTGTGGCACTAGCGATGCCCCCCGTTCCCCGGCCTTCGTAAACGTTGAAAGCGCAAGACCCCAAAACCCGAACCAACAACCCAAAACCGCCCAAAACCCCAAACCCGACTCACACCCTAAACCTGAAATCCCTAAACCCCAAATAACCCCAGACTTGCCTTCACAACTTCATAGGCACTGCTTTGCGCAACCGGTGCGGGAGCTCTCTTGCTCAATGCCAAGAGGAGGTTCAACCTTGTGAGACGTTGCAAAAGGTCTTGGGTGTGGGGTTCGGGTTTCAAGTTGAAGGTTAGCAGTTTGGGTTTTGGGCTTCGGGTTGAAAATTTTACGGGGTGCAGGATATTGGGAGCCACTGGTTAGGGTCCAGGAGTGTGGGGTTTAAGTTTGATAGTTGAGCTTGGAAGCCCGATTTGACAGAAGCTAAGTGGAGGCTCGAGCTCTCCCCGTAGATCATGCCAACCGTTGCCATTCATCCTCACTTCTCCGAAGATCAGTCCCCCGCACGCCTCCCCTACCTGTGCCTCATGCGATGCCCCGAACCAAGGCGAAAGCAACTACTCTACAACCCAGCGATGCCAGAGATTTGGTCAGCGACGCCGAAAGCTGGTCCATCGGGCTCGACGCCTGGGAAGCTTTCAGATGATGAAACTCGGGCGCAAAGGATCTGAGGTCGCCACTGAGTTCTCAAGGATCTTCACGCAAGCTTGCACGGCACCTAGCTGCTTCGGTTCTTTGATGGCTTATGGGTGTTTAGGCTGCAATGTAGGGTTTGGGTGCACCCTGCACCTTGTTCCACGATGTCTGGCAGCATGGCATCGGGAGCCAGGCGAACCAATTCCAGAAGAATCTGCAAAGCAGTGCAACGGAGGTCACCAAGCCGGACCAACCCTATTGCCAGCTGCTAGGGTCGAAACGAACGAAAGTATTGAAATAAGTATGGCTACACGCAGGGTGGCAGAGAAAACACACAGCTGGGCGTAGAGAAGCCAACCCACATTTTTGGAGCGAAGCCCTGTGGACAGGACGATGGAAAGTGACCCGTGGTTCCTGATGCCCTGGACCCCAAACATCTAAAACAAGGAACGACCTGCCTCCAAAGTCGAAGCATCCTCAGTCTCGTTGGCAAGGTCACCTTCGATCACAAGGGCTCTTTGGTGGCTGGGGCCTCATAGCGAAATCTGAGGCCATGACACAAGGTTTTCACAGAACCTGCCTCCCACATTCCCAAAGCCACAACACAAGCAAAACGCCCCGATGCAGCCTCCACCACGAAGCTGGCCGGACATCGAGTGAAGACACACCTTGCGGCTCACTGCGAATCAGAGTCTCCGAGCACTCTCCAAGCCCTTTGTTCTGAGCCCCAGTGCCCACCAATCAGGAGTGTTAACAAGGTGTCCACGGCCACCGATCGCAAGTCTTCGTTGTCACGTTGCTCGATGCTTCTGAGGATGCCTCACATCGGAGGCAACCGGCAAGAGGCATGCAGTACCACTTCCGTGGACTGGTCCGACACAAGCGGCAAGAGAAGCCAAGACAGGGCAAGACTGCTTTTTTTTCTCTCTTCACAAAGATGATTCTATCCCTCATCCTTTGGGCTGCTGGTGACACATCACGTCTCAGTTGTGCATCGATTATCCGACTCTTGCAAAATGGTCTCTGCTCCTCTGTGTAGCAAACAGCAACTTCGATCGCGACTGGGACTTGAACAGTACAACATGTACAGTGTTTCTTGCGTTTGTTACTGTTTGCGGTCGCATCAGCCAAGTCGTGCCAAGAAGGATCCGTTCTTGGACAAAGGCACGGCACCTGAGCACACGAGGCTCACCCAGTTCCGTTCAGCCCTTGCGGCCCACTCTTTCTAAGATCGCTGCATCGGGTCTCGTTGGCCTCTGCTTCTGCAAGGCTGACTTTGAAGAGCGATCGATGCCCTGGAAAGGACTGTGCCTGTCAGAAAAGTTTCTAGACTTGGCTACGCATGGCTACGCCAGGGTCCAGCAGCTCATGTGCACACATCCATGGACCGGCTCTTTCCTCGGAGAGTCGACTCCTTTCTGGTGTCCGGGTGAAACTGCGCTTTGCATTCGGAGGGCCGGCACAGCGAAGGGTCCTTTGCGTGCCGCTACTGGTCCTCTACATCCTCTGTGTCCCCTTCAGTCTCCTCCTCCTCCCCCTCCTCCGAATCCTCGTCGTCTTCCTCCGATCCGTCCTCATCTTCCGCATCAGACTCGGAGTCTTCCTCCTCATCCTCCTCCATTGCTGCTGCCTCCTGCAAGGCTTCCACCTGCCAACAGGAGGGGGGTTTGGTGGTGAAAAAGAGGTTCTGGCGTCCTGCCTTGTCCATGCAGGAGAGCAGCTCCGAGACTTCCGCACGAGAGAATCTGCCGTTCTGGTCGTGGTCAAACTCGAGGAAGGCGGCTTGGTGCTGCTCCGAAACTTCGGAATCCTGAGTGAAAACACTTCTGCGTCCCAAACCTTCCCTCTGGCCTGGCCCCATCTAACCCTGGCCTGGCCATCCTCATCCAGGAAGCGGTACCAGGCCCAAGACCTCTCAAGCGCGAGACAGCTCGAGGTTGGGGAATCCGCGTCTTCGAGCTAAGACCCAGGCTCGCTATGATTCAACTCCCCATCCCTGCCAGAAGTGCTGCAAAGGACCATTTTTCACCCAGAAAGGGAAAGGGCCGAGCCTATCTTGGTCGAAGTTGGCAAACGTAGCCTCCGGCGGGGGCCCGCTGTCCAAGCAAGACAAGTCGGAAAGCTACCATATTACTAGGTCTGCCTCAAGCTCACGCTCTCGGTTGACCTCGGCCTCTCAAATTCAGAGACAAGCCGCCAACCGTTTCAGTGCTCCATGCAAGCGGCAAGCCTGCCTGGTTCCTTCCGAGAAGGTCTCGCACAAACGACTCGGTCGAGTCTGCAGCTGCGACTCTTTCAAGCAGAAACACCTGGGGGGGGCGGTTTTATGGAGTTCGCCCGATGGTAAGTAAGCCAAAAGCCCAAAACAGAGGTCCAGGCAATTGCCGTCCATCGCATCGCAAGCTTGGAAAAGCTTAGCTTGGCTCAAGGCTCTGGCACCCTGGCACAAACATCCTGCCTTGATCCGGTGCCTGCGGGAATACCTAGACCTGGACCTAAGCTGCAAGGTTCTCGCAGGAAAGAAATCCTCAGAGTTCCTGTGCTTGCCGTGCTTGCCCCTTTGCGGTGCGAGGCTTTTGCAAGCAAGGGCCTAAGAGGGAGCCAGTGGGGAGCCCACCAATTTGTACACCACGCCTGCTTGTTGGTAAGCACCACCCTTGCAGCCGTAGGATGGCATTCCAGCAAGCCAGACGGTAGGGCAGACCTTGCAGATGCGTGAGGGCTTGTTGTCAAAATTGTCTTGGTTGCTCACCTCACCGAGCTAATAGATGTCATTGTGGCTGCCAAGTGTTGAGGTAAAGGTTCATCACTTCACTAACCACTGATTCCCCTTGCAAGCACAGGCACTGACACTCCCTTTTCACAGATGGCGCTCAGTCGTAGATCTGTGCAGCGGGAATGGCTCGGACTCTTGGATCAGACGCCTGCAACTGAGTCGATTGGACCAGAAGAAAATAAATGTCCTACCCGCCGCAACTTTGCGAAATGTATATACGAGATCAAAAATGTTGTGACACTTCGATACGTCAGTGACGATCCCCTGAAAATACGAATCAGGATCAGAGTGTCACCGAAGCAAAAGGCAATGCGACAAAGATCACATAGAAGATGCCGGCGTCACATTTTCACTGAGCAATGAATGATGTAGGCATTCGGGAAGAGGATCACCACATGTCATCACGTTCCCATTGACGGTAGTAGTCACGTTCTCGTGCACGATCTGTTGGGGTTTGATCCTTTGCCCTTGTCATTCCATCGGTTGGCACTGGGTCGGTTCGATGGTCGCCCTTTTGGTTCTGCCGGTCTGACAGTAGCTCGATCCTTCTCAGCCACGGGTTGATCTCGGATACCAAATTGTCCAGGATCCAAGTACTCGGAGGCATTGATGTGAGTAACGGCTGTGGGATGCCGACTACGTCGAGTATCCAGGCGTGACTTCGTCAACTATGCTGCGTACTTTGCCAGCATCATGATGTCGTAGTTGAGAACATGGAACCTGCTCGGGATCTGACAGTGTACTTTTCTTTGCATCAGCCTCAACATCCGACACCCGCACGTCCTCTGCCAGCAACTTTGCAACCATCTTGTTGTTGGCGTCTTCATCATCTGCAAAAATGTTCTATGTTGGTACAGCAGACGAAGATGAAGGGGTTGATCGATCGTGCAAGCCCAACGTCTGCAACAGAGCAAGGGGTTGAGCACTACGTGCCCAACACTCCTTCCGACAAAGATTGCTGACTTCGCAGCATTGGATTTGGGCTTGATGGCAACATTGAATCACGTTCGTGGCTCAATGGGACATCTTGCACAATATGCACAGGTGCCGTGTGACAATCTTGTCCCGATTAGATGGGCTACGTTGACAAGGACAGGAGTACCAATCTCAGGGGGTCGCACTTCTGTTCCTGGAAAAGCAAAGCAATCACTCTAATCAGACCTACGTGCTCCCAGCCCATCTCAGATGTTCCCGATGACATAGTCATGCTCGAAGCCCGCTGAGAAACTTGTTGAGGTAGGTGTCGAGAAGCTTCAGGTTCTCTCCGTTCTCAAAGCTAGCTCCTCTTGTTGCCCCAAACGTTGTCGCTCGCGCATAGCTGGTGGAGCCTGTCGTCCACGAAATTGCGCTTGCTGTAGACGTAGTTCGGCTTCCTCCATCCTCTGTACGGCCATGGATCGAGCCTCCGCTTCCTTGCTTAGTTGGTCAGCGAGTTGCTGGTGCGCGATCTCATTCGTCATCCAATCACGCGTCACTCTGCGCAGTACTTGTCCACCTTTGCGGTGCGAACCTCCATCCGAGCGTCACTCCGAGGTCCGAGCAATGCGTTCCTCATCTTGGACCAACTCCAACCGATTTGCCACTTGAGATAAGGTGACCTCGGCAGAAGAGTAGCTCGCCCTGAGATGTCTCTCGTCTTGTCATTCAACTCATTCGTGAGCTTTTCGTACTCCCTCGCCATGTTCAAACCTACGCCTTGCGCTCTTGCGTCCAAGTGTAAACAGCTGCCGACGGCTTCACGACGCAACCGTCCCAACTGGGTAGACAACGATTCTGCGAGTTCATGGTCACGAACATGTCGATCCTGGCTCGCTTCTTCCACCCTCATCATTGCGACCTCGCACTCCCTTTTTGATCCTTGGCGCACTTGATTCATGTGCGCCACGGCTGCTTGCAGCATGTTGTGCTGACGGTCCAATTCCTCAACCCGCATGGTGGAACCTTGGTCCTCCTGAATCATCTCCGAAATCTTCTGCATCAGTAATTGCACCATCGCTTCATGACGTTGCAGTTCCGGTTCATGAAACCTCTGCATTTCAGACTGTGCAAAGATCATCTGCTGCACGATGAGATCGGGTTTCGTAAGTCTGTTCCGGGAGATGTCCTCGATCGGAAGGCCCGAAGGTAAGTCGTCGATTTGGAGCATTGCGTCGTCACAATTTACGATCGGGCTCAAAGAAGGGCTCCGCGGCTGCGCAAACCCGCATCAAGCAAGGGGTGCACCCTCGCCACAGGCGAAGGAGAGCATCCTTCTCCCTTAGCAGATCCAGCCTGCATAGATCTTCTCGAAGAACTCTTTGAAGCTCTTGTCCTCCTCTGTTCTGAACTCCTCGGTTCTCGATCTCTCTCCTTCAATGTCGTTTTCGAACACTGAATCACCATCTCGTCTCTCGATTGTTCTTGTTCTAAGGTTTGCCGAAGATGGACGAGACGTGGTAGTCGTCCTCGGCAAAGATCTTGCCTTTCTTGTGGGGTCACTCGGCTTTGAGGTTGGGGGCTTTGCCTTGTCCTCTTCAGTGGTGATACTTTCAACGGACACCGCCACTGGTTCATCGGCTGTGGATTCTCCAGCTGCCGGCAACGCGATCCCGCCGCCCCCAAAGGTCTTTGTCGTATCGGCATTCACCTCACCGAGCTAATAGATGTCATTGTGGCTGCCAAGTGTTGAGGTAGAGGTTCATCACTTCACTAGCCACCGATTCCCCTTGCAGGCAGACGCACTGACACTCTCTTTTCACAGATGGCGCTCAGTCGTAGATCTGTGCAGCGGGAATGGCTCGGACTCTTGGATCCGACCCCTACGTAAGCTGTTGGCATAGCTGTTGGCATATGGCAGTGTCTTGAGCCACAATATTGCATATGAGGCGGAGCACTTTAAGCACACACAAACTCTGTACACTCTGCAAGGCACAAGTGTAAATGAGTTGACGGTAAAGCACAGTCTGTCAAGCACGCCTGTGATACCTCGATCATGGCTCATTCTCATAGCTCTTATCGCGACACCCACGAATTGTACGAGGCATGGAGGTCTGTTCGCAACAGGTGCAACATGCTCAAAGCCTTGATCATAGTCAAACTGCGCTGGCTGAGACAGTCACGAGAACCCCCTGGGAACCATCACCCGACAACTTCGTACTCGGCCTCAGCATGAACATGGATGGCCAAGCAATCCCGATGCATTCAGCTGACCAGAACTGCGTTCTGATGATCTTGACGCATACTCTGGTACCCTGGGTGCCCACCGAACTTCAGGAAGTGCTCCTTAAGAGAGGCCTGCATCTTTGCTGTGTCGGTCCTGCAAGAAGTGGCACGCTTTGTTTGGAACCTTTCTCTCGGGTCGGGCCTGCCACCCTGGAGACACCTGACCTAGCGACAAGGACTACACAGCGTCTTCCTGTCCTGCCAGCCCAATCTCTCAGAGGGCCAACATAGACACGCACCTCACAGGAGCTTTCCGACCAAGAGCAGGCGCTTTGGCTTCCGCCAAGCCGGGGCTGTCGCGAAACGAGGCAAGTCAGTAAACGCTCTGTCGCGTTCTGCCTGCCGTCGTCGCCGTCGTCCGAGTATGAAGAAACGACCCCAGGGAACATGCATCTTGCCTGCGAAAGAAATGTGACTGTGGTTGTTCCCAACCAGTGAGATGTATCTGACTGGAGGTGGAAGTTCACCTGACCATGCCAGAGAGGGGCTGCAACTTGATTCGCAACAGCCACGCCAAGAAAAACCTCTTTACAACCAATGCCTCGGCACATGTACCATGCGCGAAAAAAGCTTGCAACTCCTGCCGGGTCAGCACAAAGCACGTGCTGAAAACTTGAGCTGCTGGATTTCCGAGCCTTGGCAGATGTCCCCTTCGGAATCTCACTGAGGAAAATGGTCTTTGGAAAAGATAGAAGCCTGGCAACCAACACACAATGCCAAACAAAAATGAATACCAACATTCCAGCACCAAGCGGGTACTTGAGCGCCAGGCTTGAGGGGTTTGGTAGTCGCTGGGTGGATAGAAGCCTGCGACTACATGCCTTTCCCTTGCTGATTTCAAAATTCTTTAAAACGGCCTCGTACAGCGCCAGCTGCAGAGCCCATTGTGCATCCTGCGGTAGCGCGAGGCAGTAGGGAACGTACAAGGGCACATGTGGCTAGCTCAACAAAGTCCAGAAGGACTTCCCAAATGTTGTCTCGGCTAAGCTGAGGAGGTCAAAACAATGCTCGCAGCGGCTCTCCAACAAACGGCTTTCTCGCCTGACGAGGATCATGTGCCCCGGGACGTACAGGCTGGAGTGTTGGAACCTGAGCAACAGCATGCAACTACACATGCCAGATCGGCAGAAGCACTGGTCAAAACAGTTGCAGGAGTGGTGGTTGTAACTAGAGATAGAGATAGAGATAGAGCTAGAGCTAGAGCTAGAGCTAGAGCTAGAGCTAGAGCTAGAGCTAGAGCTAGAGATAGAGATGGAGACAGAGAGACAGAGAGAGAGAGAGAGAGAGAGAAAGAGATAGAGATAGAGATACAGATAGAGATGGAGATCGAGATGGAGACAGATAGGTAGATAGGTAGATAGAGAGATAGGTAGATATAGATGATTGATTGATTGATTGATCGATCGATTGATTGATTCATTCATTCATTGACTGATAGACTGATAGACTGATAGACAGGCGGGTAGACAGATAGACAGGCAAGTCAACGATAGACAGGCAGATAGATAGGTAGGTAGGGAGGGAGACATGCACAGATAGACAGACAGACAGATAGACAGCTAGACAGATAGACACAGATACACAGGTACAGGCAGGTACAGGCAAGCAGAGAGATGGACAGCTGGATGGATAGTAGGATAGATCGGTCGGCAGAGACGTAGACACAGGTACGTATAAGCATACTTATGTGCACTTTACAAACAGTTCAGAGTACATACCTGCAATATCTGCATCGTGATGCATACGAGCATGTCAATCGAAACTACAATGTACAACCAGGGTCATGGTTCAGAGGGAGCACCTGCGAAAGTAACGCTCTGGGTCCGTGGCCTTTGGCCTCATCAGGGTGACCAAGCTGTTGAGCTTGTGCCGTCTTCGTTGGCTACCGCCTGACAACTTCGACTGTGCATGTGGTCGGAAAGGCGGAGAAGAGCACCAAGCGGCAGCCTTCAACTGCAAAAATGAGGGCGGTATCCACGATTTTCCCGTGCCTCAAGTGTTGCATATTCTCGTTTGATACTGCGCAACATGTCTCTGGGTGCAACAGCTGCCACAGTGGCCGATACAGTGCCCGAAATGCGGGGACCCTGTCTGTGGCTTGAACATTCCGAACTGATGTGACGTTTTTCTGCCTGGTTGTCAGAGCCCAGAAGCTGGGATCAGCAGCTTAAGCACACGTGCTGATCCAAAGCGGCTTCTTGTGTTAAGCAAAATCACTTACGTCGAACAGTCTGGCATGCAGTAGTCTCCGAGATTTTTGCAAGGATGGCTACAGGATTGGACACGTGCCACGAAACGGCTTCGACTTTGCCGACCTGTGACTTCTGCCTGTCAGGAGTCCACGATGTTCGGATTGCATCGGATTGCTGTCTTGTCTTCAGTGGCCGATAGCGGTCGGTAAAAAATGGCAGTGCTGCATCCAGCTAGCACTGACTGCAGTGTGGCCAGAAATGGCTTCCGTAATCTGTTGAGTGGAATAGTTCGGCCGTGCCACAACCGTGCCGAGTTCTGCAAACCCAGCAACGGGAAGCGAATGCATGAGCCATCTAAGTCTGTCGTGGTGGAATGCTGAGGGATGCACTGAATTTTCAGCGCACGCAGATCCTGCAGCCGTCTGACGATCACCAGCCCAAAGACAGCAAGAGACCTGTAATCCTGAAACTGGATTCTCTGCAACAGCGGTTGCCCTTAACTCTGAAACAAACATGGCTGCGGCCTTGTGGAGTGAGTGACCTCAGACATCTGCTGCAGATGTCAACATTCCTATCCTCAGCTTCTGGCCTTCCACTGCTAAGTTCAGGACCCACCAGAATAGTCTCCACAGAGATCAAGTCTAGTACCTTGAAAACTGACGAAGCTAGGATGTGGCGGGCAAGCACTGGCAAGCACTGGGTAGTTCTAGGCCCAGGCGATTTGCTAGTTGCTCGGAGTTGCAAAATGTGCGTGACTGCTTCGGCAAGCATCTTCTTCCGAATCGCTATTTCGTGAGTTTGCTGGGAAAACGTTAATCGCGATGCCGCTGCTGGATAAACGGCTTGACGAGACTGAGAAATAGCGAAGACATATTGAAGTGCAATTACTCGAAAACTGAGAAGTAAATGGGAAAACAAGGACAAATTAATAAGACTTGAAAAATTGTGATTCACCAAATCACGGCTCTATCATCACCACTTTATCCTGAAATCATCACCCAGCTATCACAGCTGTACCGCAAGGTTCGATCAAGAACAAATCTGCCACACGTCTAGCAAGAAACGAAATTCTCGTGAGTCAAGGGTCGCCGCTGAATTTCCGCTTAGTGCGTGTTTATGCCACTCAGGGCAGCGATCTCAGCACGGGTCTTCAGCTGGCTTCAGGTAGCCCGCATGTCTCAGCACTTGCACAGCTTGCCTTTCATCACCGCGTAGACGGCAAGTTGTTTCCGCAAGACACTGTGGTAGATCCGGCGCTGGTCTCGAAGCGAGATGGCCAGTTTGCTCCAGGGAGCCCGCGGCGCGACAGATGCCGCTGGCACGACAATGACTGGCAGAGTCCACGATGCCAGCGTCGCAGATTTAGATATTTGGGGCAATGCGCCGCATTCCCGGGCCCGCCATCGTTCGCAGCACTTTGGAGTTTGAAGGGTATCAGGCTAGAGGTTGAGGTGTTTAGATACAGTTGATACAACGCTAGCGCTTTCAGGTTCGAGCTTAGCGTGCCAGAGCCTAAGCCCCAAATCAGCATAATGCAACGCGGCACCTAAACACAGAGACACAACCGCAGGGTAAGAGCGCGGCCTCCCGCTGAACCTGCTCAAAGGGCAGGGCCTTGGACAGACAAACCTTGCTTCGTGCTTCTCTTTGAGCCTATGAGTCCGTGATGCGAAAACCCCAATTCCACATGACATGCCATGTCCAAGCCTACGGGCTTCCCAACTGCCAAGCACCAGACTCCATTCTCCACAAGGAGGTGGTGCGCCCTGGCAGAGCAGCTTACAGCCGGCTTCTTTTAAGAGGACCGTGTGCCACCAAGGTGCTCGACTCCAGAGATCCGAGTCCGGTAGTCCAACACCTCCAGCCGAGCTTGCTCACCACAGATGGAGCTGCATGTTCGAGTAAGTCAGAGACATCCTCCGCTCGCTTCTGAACATGAGCCTCAGCAGGGCGGCATGTGATGACTGCTATTCGGCTGGTCATTGCGGGAATGCTGTTACAAACTGCCTCCCATCTTCATCGCGGCAGATCCGAGAAGTCCTTAAGCCTTCAACATCTTTCCCTAAACCCCAAAACCCCATTCCCCAAGGTTTCATCCGCTAAGCATCCTCGAAGTCCTTACACACAGACACAGACACGCCATCAAAGAAGAACTTCTTCACATGGTCCTTCGACACAGAACGGACACCGGAGTTTGGCCGGAGACACGATGGACAGGGAGCGCGACAGGGCAGAGATGAAAACAAACTGACACAGAAACTGCGCAAACCCCAGAAAATCAAGAATGGGGCACCAAACCAGGGAAGAAAGAAGACGCGACTTATATTATCTTGACCGATTTCTGCTGGAGGCTCTGGAATCTGTATGCTGCTTGGCTGTACATGCCGGATCAATTCAACAAGCATAGAAACACTTCCAAGACAAGACTGGGCCCCCCACATCGTAGATGACACCAGAGCAGCTCACCACAGACACTCGCGCCAGAGCATCCTTGTCATCCTGGGCGAGAGGATGCTCTTCTCCCCATACGAGTGTCACAAGAAACCACTGCCACAATGACTAATAATACCCTGACGACTGCTGTTCAACCATTCCTGCTGAAATCAATTGGGAGTTCTGGCCCTGAAGTCTCAGAGGACTCCCGGCCTTGGCATAAACCATCTCGCAGTCAATTCCCAGGACGAACCGGCCTTTGGCACCTTAGAGCAGCTCCTACGTTGTTCAGGGAGTGATGGTTGTGATGGTCGGAGCAGCAGCTCTGGCAGTAGCAACAGCAAAAAGCAGCAGTAGCAGCAGGAGCAGGAGCAGGAGGAGGAGGAGGAGGAGTCGTAGTAGTAGTCGTCGTCGTCGTAGTTGCAGTAGTCGTCGTCGTCGTCGGTAGTAGTGGCAGTAGGAGGAGTGGGAGTAGTAGGAGCACGAGTAGGAGCAGGAGGAGTAGGAGCAGTAGTAGCAGTAGCAGTAGCAGCATAGCAGCTATCGTGGTGGCTGGTTATCGCTGCTGATACTGATATTCTTTAGACCACTACCGGTGTGATGCTTATGTGCTGAGGGTTTCAGGTGACTGCAGCACCATGGCTACAACTCCACCATGCTCGGCCGCGAACGTGTTGCTTTCAGCCAGTTTCGGCCTTCAACAAATCTCTTCAACAGCCGTGCAACTCTGAATGCCAACTCACGAAGTCTCTCTTGCATCATATTTGGTCGCAGACCCACCGTGCCAAAGCACGAAGTGTACTCAGCAGGGAAATCAGGGTGACGCCGCCTTTTCACTCGGCTCTCTTCTCAACAATCCACGAGGACACAGCCTCAAGCACATGTTGGGATGTTGGGGCCCAAGCGTCCGTACTAGGAGCTCATGCCAACCCGCAACAAGAGCTGAGTCGTTGACGACCTGGCTGAAAACTTGTCATCATCTATCAGTTTTCACAGGCATCCAAGCCCACGGCTCGAGGCTTCTTGTTGGCATTTCCACGGCTTGGGGTGCTAGGAGTGGGTGGTGTGCTGCGCGGAGCAGCTGCCTGTCGCCTTGTGCTCATCAGTTCCACAGGTCCACACAGGCAGAAAATCCCCGCACACTGAGGCGACGGCACTTCCACCGCATGCATCACAGGTCTAACAAGAGGCAGCCAACCAAAACAACATCACTGATTCTCTGCAAAAGACTCCGCCCACCTGAGCTCAGCTGTTGTGCTGGCCTCCACCTCAGCGGTCGGAAGAAGTGAAATGCCCCCGATTCTTTGTCGATCTGCACGAAATCATCAATCGTCATCCCCAAGCCTAAGCCTTAGCCGTCAATGCTCGGATGCAAGCACTTGGTGGCTTCACTTGTGGAGCATCCGGTTTCCGCATCACCTGACGCCCACAAAAGAAGCAATCCTTCGGTGTGGCTTCGAAGGATGTCGGCCTGTGGCACCGGTGCCGCTGCCGAAGGCGCCGCCGAAGCTGCTGCCGTAACCGCTACGACTTCTGGAAGTTTGGGCTCCGCCTGAAGGGTGCGGAGCGTGACAGAGACGTCACCCTTACAACCGAGGGCTGTGCCTCCGAAGGCATCTGATCTCCTGTTCAGAAGACGGTGTTGCAGACCAGCTTGCGAAGAAAGAAGGGGTGAGACTTCCCGGCAGATGGGAGCACCCCCGAAGTCACTACTCGCTAGCAGTGAAGACGTTTATCCCTTCTGGAACGCCTTAGCAGCCTTAGCTGCAAAATTCATTGCCCATTGGTTAGACCCAGTTGCAAACCGAAAGAAGACCCCGGAACGAAGGCCTGTAACTCAGTCTGTGACAAGTTCGACTCTTCTGACGACCGCAAAACTTTGCGAAGATGAGTATTCCGATTGAGTACCACAGAGACTGGCCCCGTTTATCAATGTTTTCCGTCGGCTCACCTTCCATCCGTGTCTCGCCAGTTGCAGTGTTCACATAGTAATGCACAGACGGGTCGTGACGACTTTGTCGCCTTTCCCATACATGTTCTGTGCTTTGGATGGGTCGTGATGAGCTTGCCTGCATCACGGTACGTCCTGTTGCCAAGTGAGCAAAGTAGAACTGTCCAGGAACGCGACGGCTCTCCAGCCGCCGCCAACCTGCCATGTTCAGGGCAGCGTCGCCGCCTTGCTGCCACAAGCTCTCTGGGGACGCAGGCACATCCTGTACATTGGGCACGTGAGTTGAAGCCATCGGGGCAGTCGGCACAGCAGGCGCAGGAGCCGCAGCTGCTGCCATCCGCTGCCACTGTTCCGTTAACGACGAACGACCTCCTGCACTCGCAGCCCCAGCCCCGCGAACGGGAGAATGTGTCGTCTTTCTCCTCTTTTGCCGCAAAAGCTGCTGGAGCTTTCCATGTTGCAGGACTCGCTTCTGGAAGGACTCGTTAAGCGCTTCTTCGGAGGCCTCGGGCTCCTCATGCTGCTCCTCAGGTACGTGCTGATTCACCGCGAAGTCCTTTCCTTCTGAAGCTTCCGCTTCCAGAGTGTTCAAGAGATTCTGGCGCTCCGTGTCGTCAATGAGAACACGCGACGCCTCCGAGAGTCGTTGGAAAGCATCGGAGGCTTCCGTCGGATTCCTTGGGTTCTTATCCGGATGGACCAGGAGAGAGAGCTTTCGGTAGCGAAGGCGCAGCAAGGCCACGTCCGGCTCGACAGACACTGGGATCCCCAGGATCTCAAAAGCGTTCTTGGCAGCCAAAATCCAAGAGACGGCTCCCTCACCCGTCCATTCTTGCAGCTCCTCATCGGTAAACAGCCTATGGACAACTTCTGCTTCGCCTTTCACCTCGGTGCCCTCTGCCTCAGTAAGGGGATCCAGTATCTCACCTCGCAAATACGCTTGGATGCGTCTCGATCTCAAGTTCTCCTCAGGATCCGGGATGGTGTTCTGCTCCTCGGGCAACTCCGGCCATGCTGCGCTGTTCCAATTGTTAGAGCCCGCTTGAGCCATCCATCTTGGGGGGAAAAATGCAAGAACTACGCGGCCATGGATGACATCATGAGTGAAAGCAAAAGCTGAGCCCAGCTGCGCTTCAATGTGCTACCGCTGCTGGTGCTGCCGCTGCTCTTGGTTGCGCATGACATGTTTGTGAGAGATGCTCGACTCACACTCTGCTCGAGCCACCAAGAGCTGTCAATACATTCGACGGCATGGCATCAGTCTAGACCGGAATTTACTGTGTAACCCCAGCCTTGTTCCGTCTCTGGCGCTTGTGGCGCCTGGCAAACATGAAGAACAGCTGTGAGCAGAAATGTGAACGCCCAACGAGCTGACCTCGGAATCAGGGGAAGCGTCGGAGGAGTCGGCCTGCTGTTCCGAGTCACCTGTCAAGTCTCGTGTTGCCGTCACCACCAGCACCACGACGACGACTACTACTACCACCACTCGCGATCCTCCTGCTGCTGCTGATGGTGCTGCTGCTGGTGGTACCACCTACCTTTGTCCCCGCTGGTGCGAAGCCCGTCTCTGAGCACTTTCCTCATCAAAATCAGTATCGTCATCGTCATGATCAGCATCGAGATGATCTCCATGATCTTTAATTATCGTCATCATCATTTCTGAGCGTCATCATCATTCGAGTCATAATCATGAGGTGTGGCTTTGCAAAAGAACGTTCTCATTCCTCGCCCAGCCAACCTTACCCCGAAGAACTTTAGGAACCCAAGTCCAATGAGAAGTCCGACAAGGTCCGCGAAACACATGGCTTGAAGAATTAAGACTACAGTAGAAAAATAGCGAAACATGAGCACCGGCATCAAAATAACGATGTGAAGCTGACCAACAAACGTGTCAACAATGACACAAAAGGGGCAAGCCTACTACCATTACTACCACCACCACGACGACTACTGCTACAACCACCACCATTTCGACTACTGCTACTGCGACGAGAACTACCACTCCGACTGCGACTGTGGCGAATGCGACGACCACGACTCCTACTTCACTCACGCCACGACGACTGCCAGTGCTGCGGTCACCACCAATACCTTCGCCACTGCCGCAGTCGTCGTCAATCTGGTCATCGTCGTCGAAGCAGCAGCAGCAGCAGCAGCGGCAGCAGCAGCAATAGTCGTGGTAGTAATCGTAGTAGTCGTAGTCGTAGTCGTAGTTGTAGTAGTTGTAGTAGTTGTAGTAGTTGTAGTAGTTGTAGTAGTTGTAGTAGTCGTAGTAGCGTAGTAGTCGTAGCAGTCGGAGCAGTCGCAGTAGTCGAAGTAGTCGTAGTAGTAGTAGTAGTAGTAGTAGTAGGAGTAGGAGTAGGAGTAGGAGTAGGAGTAGGAGTAGGAGTAGGAGTAGGAGTAGGAGTAGGAGTAGTGGTAAGTAGCAGCGCCAGGTAGTAGTGGTAGGTAGTAGAGGTAGTGGTAGTGGTAGTGGTAGTGGTAGTGGTAGCGGTATTGGTCGTGGTGGTAGTAGTAGTAGTAGCAGCAGTAGGAGGAGGAGGAGTAGTAGTAGCAGCAGCAGTGGTAGCAGAGTAATCGAGTAGTCGAGTAGTAGAATAGTAGAGTATTCGAGCAGTGGAGTGTTAGAGTTGTAGAGTAGTGGAATAGTAGAGTAGTAGAGTAACAGGAGTAGCAGCAGTAGTGGCAGTGCCAGTGGCAGTTGCAGTTTCCGGTAGCAGTAGCAGTAGCGGTAAAAGTAGTCGTAGTAGTAGTAGTAGTAGTAGTAGTTGCTGTTGTTGCTGCAGTAGTAGTAGCAGTAGTAGTAGTAGTAGTAGTAGTTGTAGTAGTAGTAGTAGCAGCAGCAGCAGTCGTCGTCGTCGTCACCGTCGGTTCTGTCGTAGTCGTCGTAACAGTAGCAGTGTCAGCATCAGTGGTGAATGCCGCTGCTTCTGATACGATTACTAGTCACGCCAGTTGACTCATTACTGTTGTTGCTAGTACATACTACTGGGGCTGCTGACCTTGCCTGCTTGTCTTGCGGCCCTCTCCAACGCCTCGGAATCAGTGTCGGGAGAGTGCTTGGTTGCGAAGCCGATGGTACGATACACTCTGCAGATGCTGGGCTGGGGAAGCAGCAGCCCGGTATATCTCTCCCTCATCATCAGAATCGTTCATCTCAAAGGCATCCACGTAAGGATCTTCATGAGCCTCAGGCGCTGTCGGCGCAAGGAGCCATGGGCCAAGCCATAGCATGAATCTGAGACCGTGCTGAGTGCAGCACTACCTCATCAGCCGCCGATCCACCTGCAGGGAGCGCAAGAGAGCGCATGGACAGTGCCTGCCCACGGGGTGGAGAAAAAAAACGGCCTTCATCACCATCTCCCTCAGCTTCCGCCTCGACTGGGATCGACAGGAGGTGAACAATAGAAGCCATGGGCCAAGCCTCGTCATCATCCTCGTCCAAGCTAAACTCTGCCAAGTCCTCGCTGGCCGATTCAAACGAGATAAGACACGCTAGAGTTAGAGTCACGAGGCTAAGGATCAAACCGGCGCTTGTGGCTCTGCCGACCGCCCCGGTTGTGCAACCTTCACACATTTGCCATGCCAGGGCTTGTCAACAAATTGCATTTCCGCCGTGCCTCGTTTCGGAGCGCAGGGTCCTTGCGTACATCCTCCTGCTGCTGCCTGGACTGCTCCAGCTCTTGCTGCGCTTGCTTCAGCCGCTCCTGCAAGAGCCTGTGCTCTTCTCTGTGTCTGTGATCTTGCGGGTCCAGTGTCGGATCCTCCGCGAAATCATCATCCTCCTCCTCCTCTTCTTCCTCCTCTTCCTCTTCCTCCTCCTCCTCGATGGTGTCTTCCACCACCTGTGCCGCTTCTTCCACGCGCGGTGGTTGGGCTGATGCTGGCGCCTCGCCATCCTGAACGCAAACGAAGACTCTTGGGAAACAGCCGTTTTCACAGGCCTGAACCATGCATCACGTCTCTTGAGACAACTTGACATCCCGACCTGGCCCAGGCCGTAGCCATAGCCACCATAACCAGCACGCTTGTAGCGGCCACCTCCGTCCTCCGGAAAGCTACGGATTCGCGACTGCAAAGACGAGAGCCCAGCCACAAAGGCGATGTCTTTTGGCTGTCGCCCGATCTAGAAGCCTGCTTTCTGCTGGCAGGGAACTGGAACCTCGTCTGTGAAACGGATCCGCACTTACAAATCATCAGAGTTCGGTCCGCATGGCATGCGGATAAATACGGCGATTCAGCACTGGCTCTTCGGAGACAGCATCAACAGGATTGCCCTCACCCAGCTTGCTCTGGACAAAGCTTGTCATCTTCTCAAATTCTTCGTCACTGCATTCCTGATACTCTTGTCCTTAGCGGATAGCTGAGAATGGCAATTGCAAGAATGAACAACACTGCGCCTCTGTGCTGAACTACTAGGAGCCCGTCCGTGGTCGCATGGCCTTGGCTGGACAGTCCTCTGAGTACGGAACAATTACAAGCACTGTCTGGCTTTTCGGCAAGCTGCAGCGGTCCCTCATCATCGCCTTCGGCTGCAGGCTTTGCCCACAAGCGCAGGGGCACCTTTCTCAACTCCTTCTTCGTGAGGCCCTTCTTCGGATTGGCAGCATACCTTGGCTTCACAGCTTTTCACGAATGTGCTTTAGTTTCTAATGCAGCCAAGGTACGAAGTGAGCCTTTTGAACAAGTCCTTGATCTTCTTCTTCCGGCCGGGTAGAGTTCGCAGAATAGAATGGCCATCTGAAACTGCAGAAGCGAAGGTCTTCAAGGTTAGGTAGTCCTCGCCCTGCCTCTGCATGTAGCTACGAACCTTTCGAACAAAATTCAAAGGGTCCTGGTAGCCCTGCGGAATGAGGCCCTTGCCAGTGTACATGAATAGTGTATCCATTGCAGCTAGTGGAAGATCCTCTTTGAGAGGCGCTTGCTGGCAAACGTCCTCCTCATAAATCGTCTCTGGTAAAAACATCCAAGAAGCTGCAACCTGCATGCCATCATCCAACTTCTGAACTTGGTGAAGCATTGCATACGGGATGAAGATGCAGTCTCCCGCTTCCTGAATGAGCTCATAATAGTCCATGTTCCGGAGCTTGTTCTGGACAATCAGATCAACCCGGTCAGGATCCAAGTAGACCCAATCAGTCCACGCATTGTTCAGCGGATCTTGAGCGTTGAATTTGTTCCCTCTTGACCACTGTAACTCTGTATCGTACGTGAACCTCGGCTGGTTGCCTTCGGGATAGGCTGGAAAACGTGTGAAACTTCTGAGTTGCACACACTGCGCTCCATCAAAGCCTACACGGAATAGACAGGACAAGCCACTGCTTGCGGCAGCAAGTTGACAACAAAAACAACTGTCCTTCTTTGCTGGAGGGAGCCACAGAGAATGCATGTTGTTAACTTCCTGTTGACCCCGATTTACACAACTACGCCTGCATGCCCCTGTCTGCTGACAGCATCCACGGAAACTCTTGCGAGGCGTTGTCCGTTGTACCAGGCCTTCTCAAGGGAATTCAGTTTGTCCTGTCAACAGGTTCCCTCACCACTTCCGGTCTCGGCTCTTGGTCAGAAGGTTGATTTCTCACTAGAGGGGCTCATCAACGCAAGGATTTTCTGAACGGCGAACGGATTGAAAGCTGCCCCGAACTCTAAAGCTCTCACCGGCGGTGGCAACAAAGGAAATTCAATGCACGGGAAACATAGTAGACGATGTCAGCTATCGTGCAGACCGGGGACGAGTTCAGGAAGAACCATCGCTTTTTCCCAGACAGCAGGCAGTTTACATTCCACTCTTTGTCGTAGTGGAACTGGGACCGTGTGTAGCCACTCGCAATCCACAGGTTCGCCTCGAAGACGTGGGTCATCCACTCGAAGCCAGCTTCATGCGGATACTCGTGCTTGGTCTCTTTGTATGGCGGACCCGCCTCCCGGTCTAGCTGCTTCCGTCTGGATCCACAAAGCAGTACCGATGGATGTGCCACTTCCCAGGCCATTGCCTGCGGTATAATCGAAACCACATACATGTTCTGGCCTTCCTGCAGGGTCAAGACACATACAAGACTGCCGGAAACGTGCACAAATCCAATCGGGCAACAACCCCTGCCTGGCCTCGAGGCGCAAGTACTCTGAGACGTTTAATCGATGCGATGGCGCAAGACGGTCCAGGGCCTCGTAGGCAGTGTCGTTTCCACGAGCCTCAACCTGAAACACATCGGCAACTACGTTTCCAAGTGCAAAAGAAAAAGCAGCAACGAAATCACGAAAACCGTCTGATCAAAGGTGCGCTGCCTTGGGCTCCAACTTGGCATCAACCCAGCCGAACTTCTCCCTCAAGACCTCTTTGGTCCAGTTCATTGCTGGCCAGCCATGCTGAGCACCTTTCAGGTTTGCTGGTAGATAGCCGTCCATGTGCTTCCGCCAAAACTCACGCGGGTGGGGATATGGCTTTGTGTAGACTAAGCCCTCGCTTGACAAAGGAGGCTTCCAGGAGCCAAGCGGTTGCAAGTGCCCCTTCGGAGGGTCCTTTATCTCAGACAAGTTCATGCTTCGTGCCGGCTTGCGCTGCTGATGCCAGGAGTGCGCTTCATGGATATCCATGATGCCGTTGGAGTTCTTGTCGAAATAGTGGAAGTGGTCGATCGGTAGCCCTACCGCCTTCCAGTCGTCAACCGTGACTTTGCCATCTCGATTTCCAAGGAAGTCCAGCTGGTTGTGGGGACCATTATATTCGGGTGATTGATGTCCCCACCATACGTCCAGAGCGTCTATAAGGGCGTAGCCAGTTAATCCCTTCTGCTTTGCTTTCTTGTATCTAGCCTCAAAGCTTTTTGCCAAACCATTTCCGACCAGCAGAAGTACAAGCACATGGGAAAGGCCAGCCATCTGCTGCATCGTATGACGGAAGGTGTGAGGTATCCTGGAATATTCTGAGAGGCTTCGTAACTGGAATCAAGATTTTAGGTGCGCATTTCGGGGGGGAAACAGCCAAGGCCTCTTCGCCAGCCAGCCGCTACTGTATATTGGCAGCTAGCACTTACTTAGAGCAGCTTCGAGTTAGTCGAGTGATGCATCGATGTCTGCTGCGGCTACGAACATGCTAGCACCATGCCCGCCACGGACAGCAGGAAATGCATAAGTCTCGAGGTACATCAGCTGACAAAAACACGATCTTCAAGAACAGCAAGAACAGCCACTTCGAATCTTGGGCGTAAGAAAGCGAATGGGCCTTTCCATCACGAATCTCCTGGGGCGGGAGACAGGCTTTTGCAAACAAAGGAGAGAAATTAATGGCGAGTCATCTCGTGCCTGCCCCTGCTGACGTCGCTGACTGCGGCTGCCTGAAGGACTGCCGTTCAACTAGGAGCATGGACTCCGCACAGCAGCATTTCATCTGCAACTCCAAGACCCACACGAGAGGCATGCAAGTGCCTTGCCTGCCATTCGCGAGCCTTCAGGTGATGTTTAGTTGAGCCCGCATGACTCACACATGACATGAGGTTTCGCCGGTTGCCCTCGGGCAACCTGAGGCTACAGATGTTTTGCAGGGATCTACAGGGCCTTCTTCAGACTCTGTTTCCCGACGCTCTTAGGGCTTTTTGCTGAGCTGAAGGCTACGTCCTCGGGAACCGTGAAGACGGGCGCCTCCTCTCGGTTGACCAGACACGAAGAGAAATTGGGGAGGATCCCTGGGAAACCCTGGAAAAACCGGCGCCTTCTTGCCAGTTGCTTGCCAGGAGGCATCCCAACGCCTGTTGTGCTCGGCTGCCACAACTGGCTCTGGGATGCTTCCATCACTCCTGGACCGAGATCCGCTTGCGTCTCCCCTCGCCATGGTCGAGATTTCTTGCCTACGCAAGACTGCTCTTCCACCCGACACCGGTCCATCGCCGAAGACTGCAGACACCGAGACCGCCACAGAGTAAAGGCAGACTTCCTGCGCCTGGAATGATGCCGTCCCTGTCATCGCTGCTGTTGGACAAACCCAAACTGCACACGGCGAAACCCCGCTTCCATGCCTCCCTATGCCGACCATCAACTTCTGCAGATCTTCGTGACCTGGACTTCGCTGGCCGTCAGGCCAGGCAGTATCTGTGCAAGAACGTGCGGGCAAGAAGTTTGAGAGAAGTGATCCAAACCTGTGGCAACTGCCGCAGGTGGAAACCACCAGGACATGATTTCTCCCTCACCCAGGCATGCTACGACAAAGCTTGCGTTCGCTGCTCGATCGTATTTGTGCACTGCTCAATTGCTTCTTGTACGGCAAAGAGTTGCACCGCATACTATGGTCTCAGGAGCATGCCGATGGCGGCGGGATGAGCCATGCATCCGAGAGAATGCCTGTCAAAATGCAGGAACACTTCCAATGAACCATCCATATCCATCCGTTCATGCATTACTGGGTGTCAGACTCCATTCGTCATGGAAGCATGACCTGCAAACAAATCACGGCATGCCAACCCCACCACTAAGCCCCCCTGCTCACTCAAGCAGAACGAGAATTTGGGGTTGCAACCCGTGTCGCACCAAGACGAAACCTTTGTAGGATTCCTTCGGTCTGCGTATAAAACTCGTGATCAATATCTAGAAAGATCTCACCCTCCCGCCAACCGATGTGCATCCTAGTCCGACCTGCGGCTGTGTCCGTGAAGCTGAAGAAGTTTGAACATTTCGGGGTTCGGATGTGCCCAGATCTCTTGGTCACATATGTGCCCACATAGCCCATGACACTGCGCACTCGGATGCCTCCGGCACCTACGTCATGGCAACATTCTTGCGAATATTCCCCAGATGCGATGCGGTGCAATCTGATGGCATGTGATCCTTTGAGCCTCAAAGCATCCACTAAATCCTCCTGGAGGGTTGTGGTACATCGAAGAAGGTTTTCACGACACTCATCTCGCTAAGATGCAACCACCAACACTTACGGCCAGAAGTTTGCACTGCTCCGGTGCCTTGGTCAAGGTTTTGGCGCGAGTACGGGTCGAAGGTGCCACCAGGGTGACGGTCTTGTCGCTCGACTCGATCGTGCCGGCGTTCTCGGTCATGACGCCGCTCGTCCCTTTCGGAACGGGATTGACCTCACGCGAGTGCCCCTCCGTCCCCCGCCATAGCAGGAATGGCATAGAATGGCATATGATGACTAGGATCCCCACGTTTGCTAGAGCCCGGCCGATACAGAGCGGAGTTCTGCAGCTGCTCACGTAGTTCTGCCTCGTGGCACCGAAACATGCCATGCTAAAGCGACCACATGGTTCTAGGGCTGAGGCCAGCCGATGTGCCAGATGGGTCCCTCCTTCGGCAGGCCTCGCCACAAAATCTCTTCTCTGTGACATCATCATCAGTAGTAGTGTTGATTTTCTTGAATAGTACTTATGATGCCTCCCTCGAACCAACACAGCACACCCACTTGTTTCTGCTTGCAACAAACGAGTCTCAACTGAAGTGCCAGACTTGGGAAGCTTTACCAAAAGGTTGACAGGAGATGCCTTCGCAAACGCTTCCTGTGAAATTGGGAGGCAGTCGGCTCCGTCTGCTCGCGCGATGGTGGGTCGTGGCGAAACAAGACTTCCGGGCTATTGTGACGGCCAGCATCCACGGGAGCATGGCGAGAATCTAGAATCTTGATTCCATTGCAACCAGCACATGTGTGATTCCGACCGGTGCTATCTGCATGCTGAGTTTGGACGAGCTTGGAGCCTCGTCATCACTTGGCCAAGGGATGCCTCCCCCTGCTGGGAGGATGCACGCATTACCTTGGGACGAAACCGACACTCACAGAGATGTCGATCGACGTTCAGGCCCAGACTTCCCCACGTTGACAAACTTGTCATGCAGGACACTTCACGGGCTGCATTCTAGTTCCTAATGTTGAGACGGAAGAATCGAACGAGCTCCTCACGCCTCGGAACCTTGCTGCTTAACTGCGAGGATACTGCTTGGATACTGCGTGGATACTACGACTACTGTGACGGCTGCGTGGCTTCATGGTGCTATCGGGCCAAAGCGGCTGAAGACGTGACGGACGCAAACAAAAACAGAATGACACGGAAATGCAGGTGAAGGCACATTGGAATAATGGCAGCACACATTCATGCATTCGCATGGTCTGTTGGTGGAAATGCAAGTGATGATGGGAATATGTTCGGAGGGTGAAGGAGCTTCTTGGAGTGAGTGTGATCTCCCACCTCTCAGAATCTCCAGCTGCCCCTTGTTGTAGGCACTTTGCCTCCAAGCATAATGTGGAGGAGTGCTGGCATTTACGAAGACAGTTCGCAGCGGACCTGCATTCAGAGACATGTGCTGGAAATGAGCCCCAGTGCCTGCACTCCGCACACCCAGCTCATGTGTGGAGAATCGATGCACTGTTGATGCCGGCACGATGTGATGCACTGCAATCCGGTTTTCGCCGACTGGCACTCGCCCTCTGCCCAACCAGCTTTCGGCAGCGCTTTGTCCGCACGTTACCTTGCATGCTTGTGGGGTGCTGTGCCTGTCTTGAGCCAGGCCTGGTCAAGCCTGTCAGTCGAGCTTTCGTGGCGGCGGCGTTCGGGTGCGTGCAGCAGATCCCATTAAATGGAGGACCTTGCAAACTCAATCGCGAACACTGGTACGAAGGCTACGCCATGCAGGCTTGGCACCCGCCTTCTGCTCCTCCAATCTCGGCGTAGCGGCTGCTTCACAGCTAGCCTGAAAGTCTACCTGCAAGGTCACCCGCCAAAGTATGCCAAAGTCAAAGTCAAAGCTGGAGGCTTCAAAGGATCATCCCACCTCCTTGTACAACGTTGTCTCCAAGACCTGGATGCGTACCGGACCTCCCTCACCTACTACCCTGGCTCATCTCAAGCAACGGCTGCTCTCATCAGCAATCCCCTATCATTGCGACGACGTCTCGTTCGTCGAGCTTTGAGACGACTTACCAGTTCTGCAGACTAGAGGAACCGACTGGTAACCTGCAAAATTGCCCACTCATGTAATGTATCGGCCATCGAAACATCAACCACGGGTGCCTATGAACCTATGACTATGTCGACAGAGTCGATAGACACATGCACTGGCTGTCCCAATGCGGAGCTCATGAGCATAGCTGGTTGCCCCGCATGGCAGCACCCTTGCCTCAACAGCGGCGTGGGGAGCTGCATCACCCGTGACCTGAGGTGCATCTGGCAAGGAAATGCGCCACTACGAGACGAATGCAGAAAACTCACCATTCGTTTTGGCAGAAGCTTTCACGAGCACACGATGGGGTGCCTGGTGGCCGACATCCTCCACTTCCGTACCGACAAGCCGGTCCAAGTATGTCAAGAACGGCGCGTAGTTGCCCCAAACAACTGCATGGTGCAAATGATGGTGCCTCAGCAGGTAAACGGAACGTTTCTGCGTCACTCGAAACACCGCCATTACAATAGTAAGTTCGTTCCAAGCTACATGCTGCCACCGAAGTTACCGAATGTCAACAAGTTCATCAAATAACCGAGCGGAGTTTGTCGCCAACCAGTATGGGCCTCGCAGTTTCGAGCAGGCAGGAGAAGACGCTCAAACAGCTCCGCATTCCGTCCTCAAGGCTCATCTGGGTGAACAAGACGTACCACACCTTGCAGCACTACACCGTTGCAAAACATCACTGATCCCTTTAAACTCCAAGCCCAGCACCCAACAAGTCAGCGGATGTGCACCGCAGGCGGCTGGAGCAAACACCCCGAAGGTGAACACTGAGAGGAATTCCATGAATTGGACATGAGGGCCAACCTTGCAGGACATTGTGAGCACGGGGCACATGCTTGCCGCTCAAGGCAGTTGAAGATTAAAAGCCTGCAAAGAAGCTACGGACGGAGGCAATTTCAGACCCTGCAGCTTTGGCACACTCAGGCTTCCTGCTGCAAAGTTGCTGTAACAAACGTCTCCTTGTACTCATGATGTAGGGAGTGGATGTGTTTCCAGAGGCTTCGGTGCCGATGCATTTGCCAGTGAAGGTAGCCGTACGCAATGTCAGTAATTACCAGGCAGAAGGCAACGTGCACCTTCAGCCCGGTTGATGCGAAGATGTACGACAGCAACAAAGTTGCGAGCATTATCATCAATGAGTGCTCTGTTCAGCAGCACACTGCCGAGTTCTGTCGCGCAAAATCTCCACCACTGTCGAAGATGCTTACTACCTCGACTAGCCTGACTCTTCTTTCAATTCCCGTTGCGCTTGCTGATCTTCACCACGTTTGCTGTTTGAGAGTCTCTGTTCTGACTTTTTTGTCTAGGCCGAGCGTTCGTGCCATCCTTGCTCCGCTTGCCCAGATGCCACCGCTGAGTCCAGCACGACCAGTTCGACCACAGAAGGGGCTCGCTCCGGCAACTCTAGGTGACAAGCGTCGAGACATGTGGCCTTGGTTTAGTGGTTTAGGGTGCTAAATTCATGTGAGGATGCCCGAAAAAAACCCACGCACGACGACACCCAATTCTTATTGCAACCGAGGCTCTACCCACGGACTCGTGTATGGAACTGGCCCACCCCTTCCAAACTTTCAAGATTGTGTTTTGCAAGGTTTTGACCACAGCAAGCTTCGTAAACTTGCAAGAGTTGGCCAAAAAAAGTCTGCCGGAACAACCTCGAGCTTCAGAGAGCGAAGTGAACCAGAGAAAAGGTCCGGCAATCGAAGCAGAAACAATGGCCCCTGGTCCTGCCATCAGTGACGTCCTTACCCCGCTGATCAAGTTTCAAAGTGGCATGATGCTGTTCTTGCAGACGCTTCAATGAGCAACCCCTCAAAGGAGCCCAGAGGCCAAGAAGCCTTTTCTGCCTAACTTTGGCATACCCCGTATTGCTGTTAGATACAAGGAGGAAGTATGTGACCAAGCCCGGAAATGACACTAGACACGATGATGCCTTGAGAGCGTTGTACTCACAAACTTGGGGCAAGAGAACAAGAAAGGAAGGAGAGGTCTCGGAGCATCTCCCCCTCTGGCCTGATGATCATGAGAGCTGCCACACTTCCTGTGAAGGGGAGCACCTCATCACAGAAACTGCTGCAAGGTGTCCCTCAATCCCCGGCTAAAGGTTTCCTCGAAAATCTAACGCCTTGCCGAGTCTTCTCCTCGTCACTCAACTTCCCTTACTCTTCTGGGCGAAAGGCAGGCTAGAAATGGAGCAGGTCTTATGGTAGCATGGAGTACAACCCTGCACGAGCAGCAGCAAGTCATGTGTAGATACATGGCCGCCATAGCTCAATGCCGGTTTGGGGATCTTGCGAGTTCGCTCTGATCAGCAATGGCTTTGCACCTCTCGGGTACTCTGCTGCTCGTTCTTAGGATGTCTTCCGGCCTTTAGTTGTCAGCTCGTGCCTCACACATAGATTCGTCCTAAGATTTTTCCATGCGCCAGCAGAAAGCTCCTGATTCTGCAGGAACTGCGCAGGAGGCCCACAACTGTCTGCCAGCTCAGCGCACACCATGGAGAAGAATCTTCGATCTCGTCGCTCAGCAATCTTCCTAAAGAACTTAGTTTGTGCCGTCACCGTCTCCTGCCAGCACTCAGAAAAACAACCCCGCTGACATCCCCAACAGCGGAATGCCTGTCGTTGCTGGTGCTGGTGCTGGTGGGCTCACCTTTTCTGGCCACCAGAGAAGCTGACAGAGCTGTAGATGATGAGTTGTCCATGCCCGAATGAACATCAAATTTGCTGCAACGAGGGCCGAATGCGTTCACGAGGCCTCGGAAAGATGCATTTGGGTTTGCGCGAAGCTCCGGGAGCTCATTTTGAGCAGTTCATGGGTTGTTGCTGAAGAAGGACGAAATAAAGTGTGTTCGGGTGTGGGATGGCATTGAACAGCAGTTTTGCCGAAACCAGGGCCGAGTGCGTATAGCGGGCCTTGGAAAATGGATTTGGGCCTGGTCGGATCTCCGGGAACTTTTTTTGAGCAATTTGTGGGTGGCTGCATTTCGGGTGTAGTGAACACCAGATTTGCCGAAACTGTAGCCATTTGGCAAGCACCGGGGGCTTGGTCGGAACTCCCGAAACGCGCCCGAGCCCCGAACCTGCCCGCGAACCCGGAATGCGCTCGACCCGCCCCGGAACCAACCCGCCCCAGAACCTGCCCCGCAACCCAATTTCGGCTGAAGACCCCAAATCTCTCGCTGGTTTGGGAATAGGTGCGAACTGTCAGGGCCCGAGCCGACGTGGTTGTTTGGATTCGTTGAACCCGTACTTCCAAAACACCGAAACACGCTGGCAAGCAGCAATGCTTTCATACAGTCAGCAGCAAAGTGTATCGGTCTCACCGAATTTGAAAACTTGCAGCTTCTGAGACTCGAGCTGAGAGCTGCGTCAACAATGTCCGGGCCAAGCCAAGATCTGGACCTCTGACCAAGGTGCTGCAAAAGACATTGCAACAGCCCTACCATTTGCTGAGAACAGATCCTCCCCAGTCGCCAGCTGGCCGGTTCTGCGCCATCATCTTCTGGACCGCGGTAGGTCTCGCGAGAACATCGATTTCCCTGCAAAGCTCGAGGAAAACTGAAACACAGTTGCACCTCCACCAATCCAACAGGAGGTACACAGAGCAGGTTAGAACCTCGCAGACTAGATCTCCTTGAATGCTTGGCGAGAGAAAACAGATCGCGAGGCACAGCTGCCGTGCTTTCCGGACTTTCTGGACGAACCGGTTTAACCAGCAGGCATGCAGCCCGGATGCATGAGTCACAGCGTAGGGCACCACAAAGAAAAGTGGCGATGAAGCTCCGGGCAGCTGACGGACCTTGGTGACATCGGCAGAAGCGAGCCCACATGCAGCCGGCAATAATGATGTCACTTGCTCGGCAGGTATTTTGTGCAACTCTGGCAAGTAGCAAAATCATATGGTCCTTGAAGCAGACTGCCCGGGCTTCCAGATTTCCAAAAGAGGTTCAGAATCTGACCTGATCAGCAATAGGTTGTGCAAGTCAGAATGGCCAGTCGTAAGCCTTGGTCTGCTGCCTGCAAGCAAGATGAAACAAACGTGGAAGGCAATGAGGAAGCCTGCAGCAGGCGACAGTCGCTTAGATCGACATCCACTGTGCCGTTTGCAACTATCTAAGCTCCAGACCACACGTGATTTGTGGGAACTGATCCACAGTTGGCAGGATAATTGGATCCAGCAAGCTCTTCAGCTGCTCGCCTCACATCAACCGTCGAAACCTGGGGAAGTCAACGGCCTAAACCGCGGGCCTGCGCGAGTGAGCTTCCTCCGGCTCATCGGCCGCTTTGCTTCCATGTTGAATTGCACTGCTTTGCACTGCTTTCTTGAAACACCCGTGTGGATCACCGTTGGTCTACCATGCCAGAAGCTTGCCGAACTACAAGTTGGAGGCCATTCATCCCACATTCTTGCGAAGAGGTGCGAAGTCAGCCAAAATCTAGCAAGCGGAAAATCTTGCAAGCAAGGGCAGGAGTGCCATGGTGCACTGACTTCCCGACCTGTCTGTTTCATGCAGATCCTGCAGATCTTCAAGCGCATCGATCAGCTCCTGCCGCATGTGTCCGCAGACCAAAAAGTCCCAACACAGAAAGCCTACAAGAGAAGCGGTTTGCATCCTCCAGGTCTGGATCATCGGAGTGGAAGAGCCCCAGAAGGTGACTAAGTCGGTGACGGGATACCACTCTTCAGAAGAAACTCTGAATCTGAGGTTTGGCGCAATGCCACGGGCGGAAAGATCGGCTGCCGAGGAAACGGGGTCGGATCTTCTTTCGGGGGTCGAGGAGGAGCCTTTTCCGAAAGCACGATATCACACTCCGATCCAGCTTGAACGCAGTCCCGCCTGGCACGTAGCCAGACAAGGACCTGCAAGCAGAATGACACCTGATCTGAAGATGAAGCTTCAAGCCATGCCTTTGTCTGCCCGACGACCTCCTGACCTCAAATGCTGAAGCTGGATCGCTCGCTGAACTCAATAAAAACCGTGCAGGTAGCAGCACCTTGCCCATAATGCGATAGCAGAAGAGACAGCCTCGCCAAGAAGGAGGACTGTGATTGCTGGGACACTTGCTGCCAACGAAGCCGTCAAACAAGGAATCTGGCAACAACGTCAAAAACGATACCACCACGACCACGGCCGACAATGGCAAGCCAGGCTATGTGGAAGAATAGAAAAAATCGATGACTCCTTGCAACTGTGGACTGCCGGTTGATGCTGAAAGATAACAAAAAGGGTACCAAAGCAGCAACGACCAGAAGACTCTGCCACTTCTCCGTCCAGTTCGATAGCTAGGCACAAACGCGGGTTCGTTGACCGCTTGAACTCTTCGTGTCGAGTCTCCTCGCTCTGTGCAAACAAACACCAGACAAAGAGTCAGCCACCCAATCAAGTCAGAGTCAGCACTTCCATGAAAAACATTGCACCCCCAACATGGCTACAAGCATGAAGTGGCCAGACGACTGGGGTAAGGCTTCCACAAAGGCGTGGCCACGCGTCCAGCTTGACCTTAGGAGCAATCGCAGCTCACGTTACCAAAGGCTTCATGTAGCAATGAGTTAAAGAAATACATACGCAAACAAGAAGAATACATAAATATGTGTGTGTATATGTATATTGCAGATGCAACATCATGAAGCGCCATGGCACGACAGCAGATCTGGCACCCAGCGAGAGAAGACAGCACGGAGCAACGATTGGATGACATTTACTCATTGTGCGTCGAGGACATTTCCAGACCCGGGATTTGGGCGCTGCGAATTGACGTACCCATTAACGCGGTGGTCGACGTTTTGAAGGATCCGATTTGCAACCTTGTGAACGGCCACACCTACCAGATCTACCGAAGTCAGTTTTTTCTAAAATAACATGATCAACGCCTTCCATATTGGTGGAAACTGAACAGCATTCCCAATAACCCGAGATGGACGTTTCACTGGGCAAACAACAACTAAATGGCAATCACTCCGCTGCGAACAAGCATGTCAAGCCTTGCGCATTTCTGTTGATTGCGTGCACTTACTCTACATGCTTACGCTTTTCGCAGCCGTTTCTCAACGGACAGTTGGGTTTGCAGCAATACCCAACCATGTATTGCAATCCGGCCGGAGGAAACAGAAGTCTCGGCGTCGACAACGAACAACGCAACAAGCAAGCAAAGACATCCCGGAGCCCGTGAACACGCCATCAAGAGCACGATCACCAGTGCAGCAACGTGCACAAGCTTCGCAACCATCTCCACTACATCGTCAAGTGATGCGCATTGCCCTCAAGTTTTCGACATGGCCGACGAGGGCAGCCCCACTCATGGTGCGGACTCAAAGAACAAAGCCCCGGCTCGGACTACACCACCGGGTCCACCGCCACTACAGCAGCCGGAAGACGAGGAAGATTAATATGATCAGGATGAAGCATCCGAGCTCGACAACAGAAGCTCCATGCAGCAGGAAATTGCTCAGACGGTCACCAAAATTGAGACTTGGCTGCATGTAATCAACAACTTGCTTGTGTCACAGCATCAGTTGGTAGTATCTATGATTGCCGGGTGTAAGCAACGACTTGATGTTAAGGAAGTCTTGTTGCGACAGAATGCCGCGGGCTGGTCCTGGTTGATCAGATATGTCAGGATCAGACGGCTCGCACACAGTAAGAATGAAAAACCAATGGCGCTTTCATTGAAGTTGCACACACATTAATTGCACAACACCAGCGTCATTGCTCCAACCATCACCGAGCTATACATCTGGAGCCTGTCATCTTCTTGCCAATGAGCTTTTGCTGATTTTGCAGCAAGAGCACACCTTCGGAGTCTGAATCAGGCTCTGAGCGGCTTATCCATATTGCACGACCAGAGGCATTCATACTTCAGCTTGCTGATTTCATCGAGCTGACCACTCAGGAGCTTACATCATTGAAGCAGAAAGTCGAAGACATGGAGAACAAACTCCAAGCAACGTCTAAAGCACTACGGAACACGTAGGGCACAAGGCAAGACATCTTTTGATGCTCAATATGCGCTGATTGAAAATACTGCCTTTGCAGGTAGGGGAGCGATCAAACCTTACACCAGTGATTGCATAAACCTCATGCCACATCACTACCTGTTGCACACAACAGTACTCCGTCGATTTCACCGCAGCCATCTTCTTGGAATACACTCCGCCAACATGCCAGCCAGAAGTCGCAACCCGGTCCCTCATGCCTGGAAATGGACCTGGAAAACCGACAACAGCGGCACTTGGTGGTGGGAATGGTTCGAAGTATCCCGCCAATGGATCCAGGACAAGGCACGACAAGATGATCGCCAAAAAGATCTCCGTCGTGATCAATCGAACCCGCCAGCAACATCACGCAAACGAACAAGATCTCCATGAGCGTTGAGATGGCACCCAACAAGGGACGTTCATAATTCAAATTTGCCTTTTTGCCGCTTTGGGTAGTCGGTCACTTTTCTGAATGAATCATAGCGCTACACCACTGATGTGGGCAGCTATCGACAGCGCTCCAGATTGCAAAACATTGATCTGTTCACCACAATTGACTACTTGGAAGCACATGAACTCAGCATCTTCCGCAGCCATTTTCAATCAGTTTTCGTCACATGATGAGCTCTATCAACATCACAGTTCCACCGGACCTAGCTCCTGGCACTCAGCTTTTGACCCTCCGACATCGCCCGGATCACCATCAAGAACAAGTCGTCAGACAAATGCAAGAAAGCACACAAGAAGCGGATCTCGAAGACACAAAAAGCCTCGAAGAAGCCGAAGAAGCACAAAAAACAATCACGCACCAAGAAGACCAAGAAGAAGAAGAAGAAGACGTCCGCCACCATCCCATCACCCAGATCGTCATCGTCATCTGAGAAAGCTTACGCCTTTGTCGCGTCGATCCAGGGTGAAAATAGTAGAGTACGACCCCAAACACGCACAACAGCATGCGCAAAGATGCTTGTAAGAGCAGGTTGGCGCTGTTCCTGCCATTTCATATTAGTTTCACAACAACGCCCTACCAGATTAGTTGCACCGTGAGGACATCAAGCAAGGTGCCTCAACAAGGGGCTGTGTGTGTGTGTGTGAACTTACCTAGCACATGGGAATAGAGGGTCACTACTGTTGACTTTGAGCCTCAAACTACAATTTTGCCAACATGTTGAGCCAGCAATTTGACTTTTGCAGTTTCGAACCAAGTGATACATGTAACAGGGGGGCTGGACATGTGCATCGGTCGCCAGCCCAACGAAGTGGGCTTTTGCACATGCTGATATTCTCGGGAGACGTCCTGGGAACGGACCTGCTCGGCAGCCCCGTGTGGTGCCAAGATTAGAAAAGGACAGGCCCCCTTGTTTTCTCCAGATTAGTTTTTGCAACAATTGTTCCATGTGCAAGCCTGTCTACAACACCCTGCCCCATCCTATCTTGCTCGTCCTGACTTCTTCCCTTGCTGAAGTCCATCAGTGTGTAAGCCTTGATTCTAAGCTGATACTGGCAATGCTTTCGACATGCAAGAGCGGGCGGACGTGGCATGAGATCACAGACCACGTCCAACGAAGCTACCGGATCTCATGAGAAGCAAAGCTGGGCCAGCTCTGTATACCTGCTTAGAGTTGCATGGCCGCCCACATGCACTCCTAATTCTGCTGTTGTTTCGCATTGGCCAATGAATGACTGTTTGCTGCATTCCGGAGTGTCTGCGTCTGAGAGCCCATTGTCCTGAATGGCATAGGTTCGGAAGCGCCACAGCTTACCAATGCTAAGGTGATACAGGATGCAGATGTAACGGCAGTACGTCTTTTTCACGTTACATCCACCTTCTCAGTGTGTTCGTGCGCATGTGTGTCCGACAGACTGTCTTGTCTGTGACGTACGGAATCTCAGACATCCTCTAGCATGAGACATCCTTATCAAGATGCATGAGGCTCTGACCGGCAGGCAAAGCGCTCCGCAGGACGAGGAAAATCTCTTTGTTCTTGCCACTGGCCAAGCCTCGGAGGCAGCCGACGGAAAAACACCGACAATTCGCACTGGACTCGCTGCCTCCGGTCCGAAACTCAGTAGCAGCAGCGTAGCACTAGCAGCAGTAACAGTAGCAGTAGCAGTAGCAGTGGCAGTAGCCGTAGCAGTAGCAGTAGTAGTAGTAGTAGTAGTAGTAGTAGGCTCTGTGTCGCAGTCACAGTCACAGTCGCAGTCGCAGTAGCAGTCAGTAGCAGTAGCAGTAGCAGTGGCAGTGGGAGTAGCAGTGCTAGTAGTAGCAGAAGTAGTCGTCGTAGTAGTAGTCGTCGTCGTCGTCGTGGTGGTGGTGGTGGTGGTAGTAGTAGTAGTAGTAGTAGTGGTAATAGTAGCAGCAGTAGCAGTAGGAGTAGGGGCGTGGTGCCTGCTGGCTGCGTTGCTGGAGAGTGCGGACGGCCAACTCAACATTCCTTGGCTGCAGGTTGACGAGTACCAGTCATCACGCAGCTGCAGTAAAACAACGCAACAAGATTCATTTGGACAAAATGACAAAGCCAAAGATCTGTTTGCATCCAAGCCTTCGGCGGTCTCACAGAGTCTAAACTACACCAGCAGCTAGAACAACAGCTGCCAAACCGACACATGAGTTGCTGCTGCCAGTATATCGCCGCTGTAGGAAATGGATGAAATCACATCAGCTTCAGCATTGGATTGGAAGCTGTGAACCTAAACTGATCGACCGCACGAGTGAATCACCGTAACACATGCGACAATCTGTCTGGTATGCACTGCTGGCTGCGATGTGAGCCCTGTCACAGTTCAAGACAAGTCCAAGATCAGCCACTGCTGTCCGATTCTTTTCTGACCTCACGCCGCTGTACCATTAAGTCTGATAGGCATGGAAGCGTTCGTTCGGGTGTGGCATCGTGACGGTGTCTTCCATGCCTCTTGCTCGGCTACTGCACGCTGTCAGTTCCCTCTGTACCCATCGATCATCCAAACGGGGCAACAAGAGACGCAACGGCAGCCAAAGACAAAAAACACAAAACCGATGGAACACTACGGTAGACATACTACGCATCCATGAACTTTATAATTGCAACAATTCCGCTTGCGAGTAACAAGTCCGGGAACATGAGACCCTTCATATGGCCTCTAGCCAAGAAAGGCTCGACTCGACTTGTCTCCAGAAGATGCTCCGTGCACATTCGGCGGCGGCTCTGGGCCCTGGGCTGAGGGCCCTGAGCGGTATGAATGCAAAGCTGGGAACGTACATGATTCAAAAGCTAAGCTGAAGCAAACCAAAAACCGCTGCCGTGGGCAAAGCCACCGAGCTACCTTCTCCGAAACCACTGGATGCCCACACGAGTTTGCAAAACTCATGTGTCATTAAAGTGGCTCTGATTTCCAAACAATGGTCCAACCATGCAAAGATTCATGGACATGCCTTGCAGTTTGGTAGGAAACACACACCATCACACGCGTTTGGTCTGTGCAGAAGTCTATACATCTCATGCGTAGCTTGCTCCACTAGGTGCTCCAGGCGAGACTCCAGGCGAGACTCCATGATGACAAAGACTGCTACTGGGTAGCCATAGAACATCATAGAACGGAGCTCAGATCAGGAGATTGACATGGAGTTGTCTAGTGGGCAGTGAACTTTTCAGCTCACGAGACCAGGAAAAGCTCATTGATTTCTTGCAGCCCGGTCAAAACGACGCAGTGGCTACGCAGCGAGGGGAGCACATCTGGCGCCCAACGACACTTTATGAACAAAGACGGCCCCAAGAAGCCACAAGGCAAAGAATTTGTTGCAAGCAGCGCCTGCACTGATCACGACGAGGTCGCTTCAGAATTTCCCATATCGACCGGTTCGCCATGGACAAGTCTGGGACACCCGGCATAGAGCACGGCTTAAACACTCCAGAGAACATGGTTCTGTGATTGCTCTACAGCGGGCTGGAGCAAATGCTGTTCCGAGCCTCCTTACCGCGAAGCTTGGTAGGCAAACATTGTCAGACTGTAAAGAATGGAACTGCCCAAGGTGACAGCCACTCATGCCGAGCGCTTCTTGTAGTCGGGTGGCACCTGGAAATCGCACCTATGCCAACCGTTGGTGGCAGGATTTGCCAAGAGCTCTAGGTCGCCAACTGGTGTGTTGGCCCACTTGCTCCTTTCGTCCGCATTTGCAAGCCTCGCAGGCAGGCTTGCATTGAAGCACACATCTGTTTCCCTATAAACGATCGATGCATCACCTGTCGCGCAGCTGCAGCATAAGCTGAGCCTGATCTTCTCTTGATTGTCATCAATCTCCAGTTTCTCAGACTTGGCGCATGCCTGATCACGAAGACGCTTAGCTACCGAAGCATCATGACGTCACATGAACGCCATTGCCTCCATGAGCTTCTTGCTTGAGACGCTGAACTTTGAAACCTGGCGAGTCTGGCGAGCGCAAGCACATACTCCAAGAAAGACAAGTGCGTCAATTTCGGCGAGATGACCCGTGGAAACGTGCGGATCAGGTCTAAAGCTACCCAGCCATCCCGCTCCATGTGTTCTCGCAGGAAAAGATCCTTGCGAGCAAAGTCTTTCGTGGAACCAGAAGCCAGAGATCAATGCGTCCTTGCAGAGGTTGTCGGTGGAGAAGTAGTATTCTACTTGATGCCTGCGGCAAGTCCAGGATGATCCGGCAGCGGATTTTGTCCACACAAAGACGCATGCACACCTGAGTTGGGCTTTCTGATCATCTGAAAGCTCTTCATTCTCCTGGCACACCAAACAACACGCCGTGTGAAGAAAACCCCTCGGCAGCTCCTTGTGGTTCACAGCTGCGGCTAAGGGATCCAAAATGCTTGGGAACAATCCTCGCACTCTTACACATCTGCCGACTCAGCGGACAGCGCAGCGCTGCGCAACTCCACAGCCAAAACATCTGAGCACCATGCCGGACTTGGCACCGCCTTTGCCTGCAAAGGACAATGGGCCAAGTCTTTGGGCCGAAGCGAAAATGCAAGCCAACAACCGAGCTCCTCCATGCTTTCGTGCCGATGCTTGGGCTTGCAGCTGGGCAACTTGAATGGCCTGCTGCAGGGACTTGTGGAGACAACACCAAGATGCCAAGTGGGAAACAACCTGGGCATTTTGTGCAACAGCGAGCTGCGCATAAGCGTAGACTGCTGGATTGTAACCTGGCAGTAGATCTTGGTGAAAGGACTGCTGGCGTTGAGGCCCTGTTCAATCGTGCAAGCCTGGATAGGGGGGAAAGCCTCCTTAGGGCAGTGACCCAATACAAGAATCCGGAATCCTAACAAAATCTGCGAATTGATTCCTGCAGCTCTTGGCCATGCACCTGGAAATCCGTAGTAGCCTGGCGACGCTGGCCGCTCACAGCAAGAAAGCTCAAACAACGACGTGTCAAAACTGGCACAACGTGAATCGAGGACGGTTCCTTGAGGATATTGATAACCTCCTTTCGCCTGCATCTGGGCTTGCTCTTTCGCTACGCCAGGCCAAATGACATAGCTTCTTGCTGACATTCAACCACTCCGAGGCCAGCACCGCTGATGGAGTCGATTCCTTGCTTCCCTGACCAAGTTGAAACATGTACGTTCAAACAATACTCAGATGCTGTAACATGGACAAGAAGCTGCCTGTTTGCGATCCTTCTGCTTGGCCTGTCCACAGCACCAGGAGAAGATCAACTCACTTGCGCAATGATGTGTTCGTTGTGATGCCTTTGCTTTCGGCTCAGCTTCGTCCTGGCAGACTGTGAAAGTTGAAGCAGCTTTATCAAGTCAGCATACAGTGGCTCCTTCGCTCCAGAATCCGGGGCCGACAGAGATGGAAACGGCTTCACCTGAATTCAGTCACAAAGATGAAGTCACCAGCCAATATCAGATTCGCGGCCCGCCTCACCGTCCTCTCCGAAGAGCAGTGGAAGCCTCGAAAGCAGCATGCCTTTCCTGACTGCCTTCGTTGAGACTCCTTCACGATCCCTCGCACGACGAGGCTACAAGTGCTCGAAGCTAGACCGCTCCGCCCAATGTTGGCGGCAACAGCCGCCACTTCCGTGCATCTAGCGCACAAGACAAGACAAGAACAGCTTTCATTGCTTTGCAGCTTGGCTGCCGGTCGGAATTAGCAAAGTTAGACCTGTAAAATGGAAGGCTTCCCTCGAAGCAGACCTCCCATACAAGAGATGCCCAGGGTTGACATGATTGGGAAGCCTGCCCAGGAGCTTGGGATGCAATCAAATTGGGATAGCATGCTTTGCAACCGTTGTCAAGCAGCACCAAGCTGCTACATCGCCACTTAGAACTCTGCGAGGTTTGCGTGGGCCCACACCATGTAGGAGGCGGTATGTAGAATCGACTGACAAACTCACGGGCACCTGACCACAAAACCACAACCTCCTGCTGCCAGCAGCGGCCCTTGACCCACGGTGTTGCGACGGCAATCTGCCGCTGCTCGTTAGTCTGCTACTTCCATGCGTGGTCATTATGCAAAAACAGAACCCACACGCAAAACAACACTCCGAAGCCGGGCGACCAAGGCGACTCCGGAGACTCTGCTTCCTTGCGCGATTGAAGGCCTCATGCTTGCACGATCGCATCAAGGGTTCAAGTGCGCAGCAGAGGCCACAACGTTGGATGGTCTTCTCCAGACTCTCCATGCGCGCGGGCACAACTTCACAAGCCTTGAGCGAGGCACATCGATGCCGTCTGGCCACTACCGGCGGTACCGATACATCAAGAAAGCCCTTTGCACATTGTTCCTTCATTTCCACAGATGTGGCACCGCATGCATTTGTTATCCTGCACCTCAAAGAAGTGGTGTCCAGCATCGTAGTGGGAAGTTCAACCGCTTTCGCAAAAGCACTGCTCACGTCTGCATTCGTGGAACCAGGCACATGATCCCGTTCGCATGCGCCTTCTCTTCTTCCGTCCCATCGAAGCAATCTTTCATCGCCTTTCCCATGAAGTCCTGCACAGCTGCAAATAAAACTGCATTCACACGTACATGCAGCTATCTAGCTATACGGACAGGCATGCACATATGAATATATGCACACACACACACTTGTCTATCCAGGTCTATCCATCCAACTATCGACCTAGCTGCCTATCTATGTATGGTATCATATCTGTATATGTAAATTGATCATACATTTTAAATATGTATGCTTGTGAATATATATATATATATGATGTAAATTGTATGTACGTCTGCACGTATGTATATGTACAGGTTATATAATATTATACTATAAAATATGTTATATATACATACACATAGGTGTGTGTGTGTGCGTGTGAGTGTGTGTGTGTGTGTCTGTGTGCATGTATGCGTGTGTGTGTGTGTGTGTATGTGTGTGTATATATATGTATACGTATATATACACAAACGCATGTGTATACATGTGTGCGCATACATATACCCTGTGTTTTATCTAAAGTACTCATTGTTGTGTTAGGTTCAACTTAACTTAGTTTATCTTAACTACCGGTATACCCATGTACAGTATCTACTCACTCTCGTATCTACATGCATACACGGGCATGTGCCATATGCGAATACACATGCGTTCAGCTGCTGACCGCAAAATATGTATGCGGACACTAACTTGCTATACATACAAACACACATACAAGCATACATACATACATACATACATACATACATACGTACATGCATACATACATGCATGCATACATACATACATACACATATGCAAGCATACATACATACATACATACATACATACATACATATATACATACATACATCCATGTATGCATGCATGCATACATACATACATACGTACATACAGATACATAAATACGACATACATACGTACATACACACATTAACCAGACGTTTATGTGGATACGCTCGGCCGTGCAAACAGAACGATAAGAAAGCACAAGGTCCTCTTGGAACTGCTTCGCGGTGTCACTCTTGCTGAAATTGACGAAGGCATGGCCACGATTGCCTTCACAGTAGCTCAAGCTGGCTTAACGTTGGAACAGTTTGTCTGAGCCGCCCGTCTCTCCTGACGTTGTGTCAACTGTGCACGCCTTCACTTTTGGCATCGTTTGGCAAGAAGATGAAGTCGAAGGCAGCTCCATATTTACTGCAGGGTCAGGAGCAGCACATTGCCCGAAACGGAAGACATACATACTTGCTGCGTGCCTTTTGAGAGTATCAACAAACTTGTCCCGTGTGTAAGACACGGGAACGCCCCTGCCAACGTGATCGTCATGCCAAGCGCACCAGCCACACAGACACTTTGCACTTATGATGAATGCTGGGTTGCTGACTTGAGCATGAGAAGGGTATCAGCAGAGGCACTCGGCAACAACGAAGCAAATGTTGATGCAGGAGCCTTAGCTCAGAACATGGAGCACTGGTAAGACAAGAACTACCTCACTGAGCTGCTAACCGGCGGCAGGGAAAACGATGGCTGGAAAGTCGGGAAGGAAGGCGGAGGTCGCATGTACCCTGAGGCAGAATGAAGTGAATGTCTACAGCTACAGGAAAATGTAGCCGCCTGTTGGGGTTGTCGGAGGAATGTAGGTGGGAGTCGCAGGGGTCGCCTTAAACAGCGCACCACCTATAAGTCAACCACAAAGGAATTTGACACGCTGTGCCACAGCTCACCGAGGATGCAGCAGGCTTTTTGCTCCGCTTCTTGTCACCTGACTTGCAAGGAGATCTGACGCTGTGAACTCAATCTGCATCTGTGCCTGGAAAAGCTTTTGAAAACGGAATTTCCTGCGTACGCGCACGAGCAACACAATGTACCACTCTTCGAGAGTCACTGATCGGGTCCTTGCCGGATTCATCGAGGAATAACGGCTGCCAATCTGGCCTGACAGTACGACTTGATATCTCTTCACCAAGCAGTGGCATCTTCAGAAATGTCAGCAATGGATTGCACCTGTCATGAAGTTTCTCCATAAATTTCTCGTCGCGCAGGTTCTCCATGTTCTGGTCACGCCCTTGCACTCTTGCGAAAGACACCTGCCGGTGAGGTGGAGACACCAAGAAACGGCACCTACAAACGGCAAAGCCGCCTCGGCCACCTTGGAACTGCTAAAGCCAGGGAGGCATTGCCTGCTCATGACGACTTCGATGCTCCGGTGGCTACGGCATCATGGGCGCAGCACTTCGTCTTCGTCCCGTGGAATTCCGTGTGGAACCTCAATTTCTTGGAGGCTCCCTGCGGTTGCATCGCCAGAAACGTGAAACGTGGCTTGCACCTAAGCCGTGGGCCTGTGAGCGGCGCCGGGTGTTCTGAAATTGATGAAGGCATAGCCCACATTGCACTTGCTGCTGAAGTCAATCGGCAGGTAAACGAAGTCGTAAAGGTTCTGCCGTGGACAACGCCAGGCAGCATGCATGTCGAGCGGCCGACTGCACCAACAGTGCCAATATGTGCCTTGTAACCCTTGTCGAGTCGCGCGATCAGCATGTCACGAGTGTACCGGTTCGGTATGTTCCTAGCAGGAAACTGCTGTACATCGTTGTCACGCACACATCTCTTCTGCAGCTGAGCATCCGCAGCATCACGGTAGTGAAGCCACCTGCAGTCCAAGCTGCAAAAACACACACGATGGGTCAGCTCCCCCAGTCCCGCCCCCGTCCTGGGTATGGCATCCCGGGGTACGCAAAAGCTGACATCATGCTCTGAAGATACCTCGAGAGCAGATCTGACAGGTCCATGATATCCCAATCGCACCTTACAGAAGAAGGCACGCCAAGATCATCGGATCAGGAGCTGCTGGTGTCGAAGCTTCCGTGCCAAGCTCCTGGGACCCCCAGGCCCTAGACCACATACGCAGCACATGCAGAACATGCAAAAGCTCTCCTTCAACAAGTCCACCTTTCCGCCAGGTGTCTGCCTGTAACCGTAGCGACGTCTTTGCCATATCATACCAGAACAACAATGCAAGGAGTCAATACGTGCCAGACGCTGCACGTCAGGCTGCTCATCCATTGACTCACTGGTCTGGCGCTTCATCGCCTGCACAGGTATGAGCACCCACGGACCAAGTATGGTTTTTGAACAGTCCGACATGAACCACCCGCCTTCACCTTATCCCCGGCTTCACGACTCCGGCCACCTGCATCGGCATCCTCTGGACGGTCCTGTGCCGTTGCAGGTTCTCTGCATGCCGGCGGATGCATCCGCTTAGCATGCCTCCAGAACGTATTTGAGCTCTTTGGGTGCCTGATCACTCTCGGAATGCCAAAACGGACAACGAACGCCAAACATCGGCGCCTCAATGGCGTTTGATTCTTGCCTGCGGAAAGTGCAAGCAATTGCTCTGAGCATGACTTGCAAGGCTGCCAGAAGCGAAAGCCCAACAAGGCCGCAGCAGGATTGGCAAAGCTCCACCATTGCTCTTGCATGTGCCATATGTCCTGTCACTATGTCAGGTTCAAGGGGTCTGACAAGGCAAACCACATCGACGACTGGCGATGCAAGTCAACAACCGCTTTGGAATGGTGTCTCCTCAGCAATTCATGGCGATCGTACTTGGGTCCTTGTTCACAGCTGAAACACAAGCCCTGCAACTCCAACTTGCAGATATGCAGAGATGCAGCTTGTCTGCAGGAGTCCTGTGGAGACCGGTGCCCGCTCCTTCACAGGGTAACAGCTAGCAAGCCGACACTCGACGAACGCGGTGCAAAGCCTGCAAACAAATGGCAAGACTCCAAGACCTCACAATCTTCACGCTCCTCGTTCTCTTTTCCTCCCCTTGCTTGCACCTGTTACGGTGAAGAATGAAACCGGGCCATACACCTTTCCAACCAACAGCCTACAAGCAGTGCTGTACTCCACCGTATGAACTAGCATCAGCACACATAGCCGACCTTCGGCAGCAATGTTGCAGGCCACCGGCTAATTTATTGGGAAAGCAACTGTCACTGGCGAATGCTTCCCCGGCCTCGTGCTCAGCTCCTTTGGGAACCCACTTCTGCTTCGCAACAGACACTCGCCCACCTCCACCAGATCCCTGACACATTTGCATTTACACACGTGCGGCTCTCCATAGTGCACCAGGCAAGGACTCAGAAAAACAACAGCAAGCACCAGCCGCCTTCGGCATGTCGCTGTCCTTGCCAGCCTGCCAACTCTGAGTTGATGAACAAGTTGGCGCGGCTGTAATTCAAGAGGCGGCAAACTCACATGCAACATGCATCGAACCCAACTGCATGGCCTACCGTCGACAACCGGGAGGCTCAGTTCTAACTGCTTGATGGCTCCGAGTCGGCTGCAGGAATAAGCACATGCAAAGAAAAAGAGGCATAAGCGAAGTTTCAAGCAAACCGGACGGCAATATTTTTCCAGTGGAAGAACAAGGTTGAACTGACAAAGACTGTTTTAAACGCACATAGACATAGACGTCACTGAGTGGATAATCGACTCCTAAAGTCCTAAAGTTGTATACATTGAGAAGCGATGAAATCGGAAACCACCTCACACGCTCCTGAACAAGTGTCCGAATTAGCTACAGCTAGTGTACAAGACACCAAAGGAGCAGTGGCAGTCACCCACAAATGAGAGCGACAAAACATGCAGACCTGCCCCGTTCGTCGCGACACGTCGCCACACCACACCTCACCACACCTTGCGTCTGAAGGCGGTGCAGACCGAGAGCAACGCAAGCGGCGGCGAATTACAGAAGCGCATCTGGAGCGGACTCAGAATGCGAGGACGGCGATGAAAGCAGTGCAAAAGCGACAACGGATCACCCGGGTCAGCAGAGCAGCAGCAGCAACTGCGGCGGGCGATGGCGCGGTAATTAGCCCATGTGACGGGGACGGCGTTCTATGCGCCACTCGACCGTGTCCTTGCCTGCCATACGGGACTTCGCCTGAAATCGCAAGCATCTCCGCGTACACCCGATTTGTGCTTGACAGGCAGGTTTCACACTACAGTACCTACGTGCTCCGAACGCAGCTGTCTTTGCGTGAAGCACGGTGGACCAAAGCGGAAGTTGTCTTGCCAAGGCTTATGATGTTGAAGCCGCCGCTGGCTCCGAGCACGCGTCTCTGAAAAGCGAGCATGACCGTCAACGAAACTATGCTGCCTCATCCCCAATAGGAACTTGAGAAGTGGAATCCAAAACACAGGGCACATGGTGTAGTGACAGTGTCGTGGTATCACATCGCTCCGCATGCGGAAGGGCCCAATCGAGAATGTCCATATTGTTTTTTCAAGGACGCTTTTGGAAGAAACAGTCCAAAACAGGACAGTAAGAGAGTTCAAACCGCAAGGGAACGTCAACTCGAAGTGGACTTGGCGTGAACCTGGGTTTGACCTGGATTCGAATCCGTTAGCCTGGGTTTGAACTTGGGTTGAAATGGGTAGATCTACGTTGAATCTGGCTTTCTCTCCTTTCCTTTGACCTAGAGTTGAACCGGGCTTGGATTCGAGTCAGCCCGCTCTTGCTTCCAACCCATAAAGTGCACAGACAACAAGACGCTTTGAAACGTGGCCACAAGCCCAGCTTGACCCCCATTTCCCTCTCCCTCTTTCTTCCTGCCCATTTTGGCGCAAACGATCGAAGGTCCATGCTGTAGCACTATGTAGCACTGTCAATTGAACGTGCTTTGTGCGTTTTTGCCATTTGTGGATACTGAAAAGTCATGTTGCTGACAAACCGTTGGATCAAGACGAACATGGACAACTAAACATCTTCTCGACAGATCAGACAAAGAAAGCCAGACACTCGCTTCAGAGAGGGATAAACACGAAGAAAACTGTCAAACGAAAAATGAATTCTAAACATGTTTGTCCAAGACGATCGAAGCGGAGAATTCGACCAGAGCAACCCAAACTCGAGCTCCATAACTCTTGCAAGGGAAAGACGGAAGAATATCAACAGCGGGAACAGGTTCATGTTTGTCTAATTCAAAGGTTCAAGTTCATTCGGTGGCTAAGCCATAACGTCCACTTTGACATCTGTGAAAAACATAGCGCGCAGCACTCGGTCTTTTTTGGAGCCAAAGAGCAGGCGCAGCTTCACGTCTTGGGCTCTGCAGACGTGAAAC